TTATGAAAATTATAAACTTGGTTAATAATAGACAATAAATACCTTACCTTCATTTACATAGCTAGTAAATTCCAAAATTAAATAAAAAAAAACTACATAGAAATTTACGTTAATAAAGAAGTTTTTGTGAAATTAATTTTGAAATTATCTACATTTAACTATTCCAGATATTTTTTCTTTCCGTTAACTTTGTATTTAATTTTCAAATGTTAAAGATTTTGAGAAACAAAATTTACCGTTTTGAGAAAAAGAACTCTTATTTGTGTCTTGTTTCACTGACGAATCTGCCTGACGAGAAGTTTCTGTTATTTTATCGATACTGATTGTACTAAAATAATAAATTTTATAGTTAATTTAAAATTGAATATTCAAAATATAATATAAGAGGAATAAATCCAAAAAACGAGAAATGAAAAATTACCTTGAAGTTCTCGAGACAGAGTTAGCATTCCTTAGGAAGAAAACTTTTTCCGCTGTTGGATTCGGCCAAGAAAGAATTCCCTTTTTATCAATGCAGCAAAGTGCCTTAAATACAATTTTAATAAATTAAATACATATTCAATAAATAAAGTAACAAAAAAAAAAAATGAAACAAAATAATTTCGATTTTTAAGTTTTTCAAAAAAGAAAAAAAAGATTTTGCGTTTACCGTCACCGAACCAAGAACATGAAGAATACTGGCCGATCTAGACATCATATGTTCTCTTCCAAAGAGAATGTCTAAAAAATATTCCTTCAATTCTGACCAATTATAAACAACATCAGGATGAGAAGGATCGGCCATATCTGCATCTTCAAACGGATCTAGAAACTAAATTTATCAACAATTAGAGAGATTCGACTCTTTCTCAAAAAAAAGCAAACAATGTTCTTTTTTGTTTTATTTTTTTTTTTTTTTAAAGAGATCTTATAAATTTAAAATTTTGTTCAAAAAAGAAAATAAATTCTCAAAACACACCTGAGTTCTTTTTGAAGATTGATAAAGTTTAAATAAAGCTTTAAACCTCGCCATTCCAAAACAATTGAGAAAAATCCACCAGACGGGAAAACTGATTGGCAGAAGTGGTAGAGTAACGGCAATCGGTTGAAATAAAAACATTTCATACCAAGGACCGATACCAAAAAACTCAGATAGATAGAGATATCGTAGTAAATTAACTAGAAGGACAATAATCAAAAGAATTGGATACAAGAGTTGTTCGATGCAACAAATCATGACAAGATGACGTTCACGATTGTGATAGGTGACAGGACGATCTAGAGCTTGTTCCAGAGCTAATCTAAGATTCGTCAAATATGGAGTTTCCTTGAGTTTGTAATTTTTGTTTTTCAAAGGAATTCTTGCCTGAGGAGTGGAGAAAACCTCATTTGAACCGTGAACCGGTGGACTGTAAATTTCTTTTGCGTGCAAAATAGGAGCTTCAGGATCCTGAAATAATATTTAAAACCTGTTAATCGCAAATCCATTAAATTTATATTAAAAATTTATTAAATTGATAAAAAATTAGTTAAATTGACCAAAAAAATTAAACAAATGGATAAAAAATTAGCTAAATCGATAAAAATTAGTTGAATTGACAAGAAAATTAAATAAATTGATAAAAAATTAATTAAATCGATAAAAAATTCGAAATTTAATTTAAGTACTTAAATGCTATTTAACTTGATTGCTAAAAACAATACTAACATCAATTGGCACGCAATATCCAGGAACTTGTTGTCCAGGTTTAATGACAATAATGTCACCAGCAACAAGTAGAGCCCATGGCAAATTAACTATTTGACCCTCACGATAGGTCCATTGCAAGGTAATACAAGGCGAAAGAGGACTGCATAAATGGGGATAATTTTCAGCATTCCAATGGCACAAATAACTAGCAGCTGAAATTGACGAAATTTAAATAATCGCAACAATAATCTTTGAATAGAAAATAACTACTTCAGGGTTGCCACAAAAAATTTTGTTTTTCCCTGACCATAAAGAATATTCTGATTCACTCTAAAAATAATTGGATACTCAAAAAGATGTTCCATTACATTTATTAATGAATTTTTTTAATTGTAAAATTATTCGAAAACATCAATAAATTCTTCATTAAATAAATATTTAATCATTAATATTCCATAGGAATTAAGATTTTCAAATTCTAACCTTTATGAAATTCAACAACTTAGAAGAATATTATTATTAAGAAAATAAATAAAAATAAATATAAATATTATTATAATAATTTAAATATTTATAAAATTCCTCGAAAAATGTAATTATTTTCAAAAAATTTTTTGCAATAATTCAATTAGATTTCACAGATAATGAAATTATTAGCTGAAATTCAAACATTTTCAAAATCTACTATTTTAATAAAATTTTTCAAAAGAATTCAATTATTTTTAAAAAATTTAATAAATATTCGTTGCAAAAATTCAAAATAAAATTTTTCAAAAGAATTCAATTATTTTTAAAAAATGTAATAAATATTCGTTGCAAAAATTCAATTATTCTCCTAAATAATAAAATTCTTCACAGGATTCCAGTTATTTAAAAAAAATTTTATAAAATTTGTTGCAAAAATTGAATTTTTCTTTTTTCTTCTAAATAATAAAATTCTTCACAGAATTTCAATTATTTTAAATACAATTTTAAGTAAATTCTTCAAAAATTGTAATTATTTTCAAAAATTTTATCAAAATTCTTCGAAAGAATTCAATGAGGATTTTGTTATTTATTAAGATAATTGAAATTTTGCTAAGGATTTTATTGAAATTTTTGAAAATAATTGGATTTCGGAGAAGAATTTTATTACTTTTTAAAATAATTGAATTTCTACAATCAATTTGTAACTTCTACAAAATTCAATTTATTCCAGTACTTTAATAAAAAATCCCTGACTTTTCCCTGATTTCCCTGACTTGTGGTAACTCGGTACTAAAAGAAGAAAACTTACCATCTAATTGTTCAATAAGAATTCGAACTCTATGTGGAATTTCCTTATGTCGTAACTTATTATCAGAGGCTACTAAAATAAAATTAAAAACGACTAGACAGAAGATAATCAGTCCCTCGTACAACAATGTTGAATATCTGCAAAAATTATTTTTCCATCAGATTTATAATATTTTTTTTGTGAAAAATATTTTTTAGAGAGAAAAAGAATTTTTTACGGAAATCTAATTAAGAAACGAATTAAAATTGATAAATACCTCGCAGTTTCCTGAACAGTAAAAAATACAGCTATGAGGGAAACAGCATTAATTAGAAGCGCTAAAGCTGAAGTCCAACAAAGGGTTGTGTATTGACTACGATGATGTAAGGCATCATTTAACCAAGCTCTACTTTTCCTATTATTAATTATTGATTATTAAAATTCTACAGTAAAAGTCGTGGAAGTTTTAAATATTCATATACATTTTAATTCATCAATTTCAAAAGATTACAATAAACTTACTTATTTTTTCTGCATTCCTCTTCAAATTCATCTAATACTCGTTTAATATCACCTTTCAAAATTTGGAGAGCTGCTGAAGTTGTTAAACCTAAATTTTCATTCGCATTCGCCTGTTGTTCCTCCATATTCTGCAATTTAACAAATACTTTCTATGTACTAAAATTATTTTCATTTTTACAAAAAGAGTCAACAATTGTGGCAAGTGTCAATGTCAAAATAGAATAAATTCCAATAGTGTCTACCTGTCAAAATTAATATTTCCACAAAGCTAATATTTTGGTTAAATTCAATTTTCTTTACATAATTTAGATAACATTATTAAGTCTTAATTGTTTTATCGAAACGACAGTTTTGTTTGTTAAATAAACTTCCTTAAAATCGCAATGGACTTAAATCAAAACAAATGAAAGTGAGGTTAGAATTGTTAATTTGCATCTTACGTAACAAATATTAAAGCTTTTCGAGTACATACCTGTCTTTTAATTATTGACAGCTGATGTTTCAATAAACCATATCACAGTGTTTTGTCAATTAAAACAACCCCCATTATATAGAATTTCTATAAGTATTTTTTGACATTTGCATCATTGGCATTGAAGACCATAACGACGAAAACAGACGCACGCATCCCAGCAAAACTGACAAAGCGCAAAACATTCATGGCGTGTAATTTGTATATATAATGCACTTCACCTCTTTTAATAATTAGGACAATCATTCATAAGTGTTTAGTAATAAAACAATTTCCTGGAAGATATAAAACGCAATTGCTACCTTGAAATTATTTTTTTTATTTCTTTCCATAATTTTTGAGGTTAGGTTTTCTCTATTGAATTAATTCAATTAATTTTAAGTAAAATTTTTTTAAATTTCTTCTCTTTTCAGATAAAAAAAAAATTAGTAAACAAAAAAAAGTTTTTTCCTATAAGAAAATATGTCAAATTAGATTTATTAATAAATGGAAGAGAAACGAAATGTTTTGATACTTTGAAAGATTGATATCATGGAAAAATATTCTATTGATTCTATTTCGTTTGTTTTGATTAATACTATTTAAGGGGATTTGAACCTTGATGACGTCACAGTTTGTGCAAAGCATTAGTTTTAAATCTGTGACGTCATCATGGTTCAAATGCCCTTAAGTGTAAGATAAGAAAAACGAAAAAAAATAGAAAAAAAATCCAACTTTTTTATATAGATATATATTTATATCAAGACAGAGAGGGAGAAAGAAAGAAATTAACAATTTAGAAAGTGTAGTAAAAGATTTTTTTCACTAACTCATTACCAGGTATAAATGGTATAAATTAATTTTAATATCATTAAATGACAGATTGTAAGATAATTGAAGAATCATATAACATGCTATTTAAATCTTTTCTTAGATTTTTGCTACTCAGTCGTACATCCGTCATTAACACGGAATGATAGTTATCGGTTTATTCTTCTCATCGCGGTTTTGTGCTACTGAAGGAAACTTGTGTAACGATATATGATAAGCTTTAATGCAAAAAAAAAAACAGAACTGATTTAAAACTCGTTTGTTCTGTTTGTTGATAATGACATCATTCAAGAATTTCGAAAAATTAGAAGAAGTACTGCAATTGTTTTTGTTACCCAATTATAATATTGTCTCAACAACTTATCTTGATTTATTATTGACACAAATTGCTGATGACAAAACAGAACGTAAGTATTTTGAATTTTTTTTTCGCTTTGTGAATCCTAACCTCAGAATATTTTCAAATGTATATACTCTTTTTGCGTTTTTTTATTATGCAAATGTGGAAATACTAATTTTTTGTTTGTGTAAATTGCATGAATTCAAATTGAAATACACTGAAAAAAATTATAGGCAGATTTTGTTTTTTACTTAGGCAATTTTTGCAATTTTTGCAAAGCAATGGTTTCTTTAAAAAAAAGCAATTTTTGCCTTAGAAGGTAACCAATTCATGACATTTATCAAGTAAATTGTTTGACATTTATGTTTAAAATTGATTTTCAAAATTAATATTTAAAATTTATTTTCAAAATTTATTTTCAAAACAGTAAGACAAAATCATCGACAATTGTTCTTGTCATGGATTCCAAAAGCCCTGGACACTTGGAGTTCGGATGAAAAGCCCTGCCAAGCTGTTGTTTCATTCACAATAAAACTCGTGGGTCTAATAGCTCAAGATGAAGAGGACTTTAAAATCTGGTATCGCGACGATGTTTACAACAAACTTTGCACTGCATTCCGTTTACGAGAAACTGATTTATCAGCGTCTATTAAAATGGCATATACATCGATGCTCTGCAATTTAATTCAACATCAAAGTGGTAGACAATGGGTGAATGAATCAGGTGTTTGGCGAGATATGATAAGCTTTGCGCATCTAAATCACACGCTTTATGTAACAAGAGAGAGTCAAAAATTTGTCTGGACACTATTACTTTATGAATCGAGGAATACAGAATTTTGCAAAGATATTATAATAGCTGCTGTCTCGCCAATGACTCAGAATACATGCAGTGTACAAACTCATATGGTTTTGGAGGAGAATTACATGAATGATAATGCTCTATTGTGCACGACTTTAGATCTTTTGACGAGCATTCTTGAAAATACACTTTTCCACAGTTTGGATAATACTATTCCTTCGTTGATTGAGGAATTTGCTAATTTAGAAACTAGATTGAGAGCTCTTTTTGAAGCTTGTATTAGTACTCGTTTTTTGCAGCATATACTCAAATTATTGCTTTTGTCGTTGTTTAAAAGATTGAAGGATGGAATCAAGAGTCCTGATGAGAAGGTCGATCCGGAAGCTAGTGAGAAATTTCGTCTTGGTCTTTGCTATATGAGCTCTTTGCTTCTGTCGAAAAAGTACGTTCTTGATATCGTCAGAATGAATAAATACTCTTTTATATATTGGAAGAAATTGCAGAGTATTTGTAACTTTTCTTTAGGATTGCCGCATAAATTTGAACATCAAGTTATCTGTCTAATGGTGAGTATTTCTTTTTATTTTTTACCTTTTGCAGGCTTCGCACTCAATAATTACTTTTAAAAAAGTAGCAAAAAGTGACTTTAAGACTGAAAAAAGTAGCTATCGAAAAATTAAATTTGATTCACCAGAATTGATTTAAAAAAAAATTATTTAACAAAAAATGATTTAAAATTTCCCTGACTTTCTCCTGATTTCCATAAAAAAAATATTTACGTTTTTAATAACTTCAATTCTAAATTTTTCTAAAATTCAATTATTTTCCAAATTTTTAGTTAGAATTTAGAAAAATAAATAATTTTTAAAATAATTTATTATTTCTTAAAATTGAATTCTTGCTCTAAAGAATTTTATCAATATTTAAAAAATAACTGAATTCCTGCTCTGAACAATTTTATCAATATTTAAAAAATAATTAAATATTATATAAAAATTTTATTACAATTTTAAAAAATAATAGAATCCGTTCGAGAAATTTTTTTAAAATTAGGATATTGAAAATAATCGAATTTCTAAGAATTTTATATTTTAGAAAAAACTTTCAATTGTTTCGAAGATTTTGAAACAAATTTGAAAAAAATAATTGAATTCTTTCAAATAATTTTATTAAAATTTTTTTAAATAATTGAATTTCCGAGGAGAATTTTATTATTCATGAGAATAATTAAATTCTTCCAAAGAATTGTTATTATTTATGAAAATAGTTGAATTGTTGTGAAGAATTTTGTTAAATTACTAGAAAAGTAATTGAACTTTTTCTACGAATTGAATAATTTTTGAAAATAATTGAATTTATGTGGAAAATTTTATTTTTCATGAAAATAATTAAATTCTTGCTGAGAATTTCAGCATATTTTTGAAAATAATTTCAATTTCTGTGGAGAGTTTTATTAAAACTTTTTTAAATTATTGAATTCTTCTGTAAAATTTTATTAAAATATTTGTTATTGAAAATAATTGAATTTCTGTGGAGAATTTCATTATTTATGAAAATAATTGAATTCTTGTGAAAAATTTTTTACTAAAATTTTTTAAAATAATTGAATTTCTGTGGAGAATTTTATTATTTATGAAAATAATTAAATTCTTCCAAAAAATTGTTATTATTTACGAAAATAATTTAATTTTTGTGAAGAATTTTGTTAAATTATTTAAAAATAATTAAACTTTTTCTAAGAATTGAATAATTTTTGAAAATAATTAAATTTATGTGGAAAATTTTATTTTTCATGAAATTAATTGAATTCTTGCTGTGAATTTCAGTATTATTTTTGAAAATAATTGAATTTCTGTGGAGAATTTTATTATTAATGAAATTAATTAAATTTTTTCAGAAGAATTTTATTAAAACTTTTTTTAAATTATTGAATTCTTCTGTAAAATTTTTTCTTTATTTTTATTTCTTTATTTTGATTAGAATTTTATTTTCAAATACAGGTAATGCCATTGACCTCGACTTACGGAACAAAACGTACAATGCACGACTTTTTCGAAATATTTATCAACAAAATGTTCGAAATCACGTGCACTGCTATTCAAAGAATATGTTACAATATCAGAGATGTGATATTAAAAACAGATCTTCCTCTGGAACTGATTTGCAAGTCGTCAATTGAAATGCTAATGGAGATTATCAACATTATGGACAGGGTACAAAATCTACTCCAATTTTTAGATTACTTTGAGAAAATGAATTTTAATACTTAATTTTATTTAATTTTAATACTTAATTTTATTTAATTCTAATACTTAATTTTATTTAATTCTAAAGCTTAATTTCATTTAATTCTAATACTTAATTTTATTTAATTTTAATACTTAATTTTTAAATTTGATTCAGATGTTTGTTAAAAATGTTTGTTATTAAAGATAATGTTCATTTTTCTAAAATTTGCAGGACGTGGCAATAATTATTTTTCAAACAATGTGTTACATGTTGAAAAATTATACTCCAGAAGTTGAACATTCGCTAGATGGATGTGGCAAGTCTCAAGCGGAGCGTCAGAAAAAATCTTCCATTAAAACATTGCTTGATGGAGAACCAATAATCGAGAGACCAGTTCTACTTGCGGCACTTCTCGATGGTCTCATAACTATGACGGAGAAATTTAAATTAAAGTGGCAAGAATGTGTTGAGACAATTTGTATCTTGTCACTCGCTCAGCAAATTCTCGATCATTCTGGAGTTTCACCAACGGTATTTTTTAATCGTTTTGTCAATATTTTTTAGCAAAATATTTTTTTCTTTATTTAATTCTTTAATTAATTTTTTATTTAATCATTTATTCAATTCTTTATATAATTCTTTATTTACTAATTCATAATTTAATTATGTTTATTTAATTTATTTGTTTATTGCTTCCTCACTGAGGAAGGTTTGTATTTAATCATGGAAGTCAATCTAATTTTTAAGTATACATAAAAAGTAAAAGTAATTTTAAATGAGATTGATAAGGAGAAATTTTATTTTGCAGATTTGCGTGAAAGCATTGAAACTTTGTAAATTAGCAATTCAAAATTTTATGCCACCACATTTGGCACTCCTCGTTGATTCTGACAGTCATATGAATTATGTTGGACCGACGTTATTCAAAAGGCTTCATAATCCGAATTGGGAAGTCGTCGACAGTGTATTTGAGGTTTTAAATACCATGGCCACAATTTCTGAAGATAGTACGTAATCACAAGATACTAAAAAAGTTTTATTTCAATTTCTCAAAATTTTGCAATAAAAAATTTTTTTTTTTAGAATATCCAGCATTTCAGGAATTTCTCCTGAATCATCAATTTCTGCAAGTTGCCAGTTCTGTTGCCATGAGCGATAGCGAAAGTTATGTAAGAGCTTCAGCGCTGATTTTTCTGGCGACAACGGTCAGAATAGAAAAACTCTGGACCACTACATTGTCTGAACTTGAGTTACCTGTAAGATTATTGATAATATTATTAATAATACAATAGTAATTTTATTAATTATTAATTTCTTATTAACTCATTAAAAATAAATATTTTTCCATTTTTAGGAGAAGGCAATTCTTTTAATTAATCAAGAGAGTGAGGCAATTGTACGAAGAGAGGCCGTGTCCCTTCTTACGGAATTATATATTCATCGTCAATGGCAGTGAGTATTAATTAGAGGAAGCATTCAAACCTAGGATATTATGACTTTTTCGCCTTTTTCAAAAAATGCTATTTTTTCGTCTTATTTTCAAAAATTGCGAATTTTCTTCCAAATATTGCAACAAAATACCTTATTTTTAGTATAAAATACAACTTTTCTCGAAAATAATTTGTTTAGAGATGAAGTTTATTGAAAAATTATAGAAAATAATGGAATTTCGTTTTAATTTAAATACATTAATTTTGTTTGTACATTAATTTTGTAAAATTGAATTGTAAATTATTTAAAAATAATTCCAGAATTATTATTAAGTGAATTTACTTTTTTTGTTTAAATAATAATTCAATTCTCGAAGAGTTTTTGAAAAAATTATTAAAAATAATTGATTTAGAGATGAATTTTAAGGATGAATTGTAGAAAATAATTGAATTTCGTTTTAATTTAAATACATTAATTTTTTTTTAGAAAAGCAAGTATAGACGTTATGGTACAAGCGATGGCAACAGCGGCTGTTTTAGATTTACACTGGGAAGTAAAAGTCAATGCACTTCAATTTTGGAGACACTTTATAAAATCGCATCTTACTGATCAGGGAATGCTTGACGGATCTTTTCCCAATGTGACTTTTTCAAAAGAGCACAGAAAAATCGTGCAACTTAATGAGACTGAAATAAAACGAAGAGTTAATAAAGCTCTCGATGATTTGTCAAAACAAAAATGCCTCGGGGTAAGTTATTAAAAAACTAAATTATTTCTAACGAAATTTTTTTCGTCAGAAAAAAAGGATTTAATTCTTTAAATCCTTAAAAATAATTTTCTTCCAAAAAATTTAAAAAATTTATCTTTGGTTATTTAGGTAATTTTGCAAACCCTGAAGGACGACAGCGATTTTGAAGTGTGTAAAGCATCGGCGAAAATAATAAGTAGACTCAAGGCTTTTTTGGTGAAATATAAAATTAACGAACCATTTCCAGTGGTCGTGTCTCCAAAGGACAGTGCAATTTTAGACACAACTTATGTGAGGCCAGTGAATCTTGATAATTGCAATACAGAAAAAACAAAAAATGATTCTTCCAATGTAATTGATGATATTGTCAGCAAAAACGATACCAGTTTATTGTCAGCAATTTACGAGAATTCGATGAAAATGGATGACGAACAAAACGATGAGGATGAGAAACAAACACTAAAAAGTATAGCTAATGTAACGAGACAAGATTTTTTGAAAGTTATTTTAGAAACTGATATCGATGCCTACATCGAGGAGAAGAGTTCTTGGCTTACAACTTATACAAATAGTTTTGATTCCGTTCTCGATGATATTTTAACACTCTACCAACACAATGATATAAATTCAATGGACTGTTACTAATACTTTTTTTAAGCAAACATACTCTTTATGTGCCTTTTACAATTTACCAATAATGCACTCATTTGTACCTAGAATTGTGTTTCTCTTTAAAAATGAATTATACCATTATTTTTTTAATGCATCCTTTATTACTGAATCAGATTTTTAAAATACTGTTTTCTGCCATATTGCAATAGAAAAATATTCTTAATTATCGTAACAAATAGATATTTTTAAATACCTTTAACATTCTTATAAATATACGTCGATTAACTCTATAATAATAACGATAATAATCTGTAACATTTGTAAATTCTAAATCACTTTTTTCGAATTTAATTTCATTCGAATGAGAACTATTCTTTACTAAATGTAGTTGTAGTTCATTAGAACTTTGATCGAACATTTTTAACATTTGGTTTTGAAAATCGTTGAGTGAAAAAATAAAATATCGAAAGTAAAAAAACATGATGGGTCGTAATATCAATTTAGATCTTGAAGATTGTCTTCTTGATAGACGGGAAGTAGTTCGGCGTAAGTCAGATTTTCGTTGGACCATAAATTTTCGTTTAAATCTACAGATGTCGGTAGATTTATGACAGTCGGTTGATTTACTTGAAGCACTTCTGATTCATTTTCATAAGTGAATCCAGTTAGGGAATTTCCTTCTACCTGATGATCGTCGAAAATTTCAATATCAATTCCCTGACAGGTGAAATCGTACTCCTGCAATAATTGAGACGTCAAGACCGGATCCATTTGAATTAGATTTTCATTCGTTAAATCTTCACAAATATTATCGTTCTGAATTTCATTGAAGTCGGGAATAATCCATGCATCTTGCATGGCTAATTTTGTAATGTCCGTAGGTGATTCGTTGCTAACTTGGAGTTTTTCTTTCACCGAATTGTCCCAACCGTCGTCGATAATTTCAATACTTTGTGATTTTTTAGTTGGAAGAAAAGGAGGTGGAGGAACTTCGGGCAATTTGGATACTTTTCTCTTTTTGTTATTGCTCTTTTTATTTGTCTTCGGATTTTTAGATTTTGATACCTTTGAATTCTTGCTCGATGATTCGGTGACAAATTCCGGATTTACTTTCGAACGAGAGAGAACTATTTTCAAATTATCCGATTTCGATCGTTTTCGCTTTAGATTGACGATTTCGAAATTATCAAACAATTGAAGTTCTCGATTTTCCATTTTCTTGATATTGACTCGATTTTTCTTGAAAGCACCATTGTTCGTTTCTTCTTTCACTTCCGGAATTTTATCAATTCTGCTAATTATCACCGTTGGTTGATTTTTTAAAATCACTTCAGGATTGTTGACAGCTTTCGCTTTTGAACTTTCTTCGGGTGGATTTGAACTTTGGTTGATTTGAGTCGGAATTACTTTTTGTTTCCTTGAATCTTGAATAACTTTGGCCTTTGCTTCCTTTGGTTCGGTTTCAATTAACCGAATTGTTGAAATCACTTTTGGTTTTATGAAAACTTCTTTGGGCTTTGGCTCTTCTTTGGGCTTTGGGCTTATTGCCTTCGCTTTCTGAATAGTTTCTTCGTATTTCACACACGGACTGTAGTTTACAACTATTTGTGAATCATTGAATGTTTCCTGTATTTTGTTCGCCATGGTTTGTGGTGTTTGAATAATTATCCTCGACTTGTGATTCAATTCTGTGTTTTTTTTAGAATACTTCGAGTTTTTAAGTACTGATTTCGGTTTTTTAAACTGATGCTCCTGTACTTTGGGATTGCATTTTATCTTTGGAATTTTTAAAAGCGTTTCAGTTTTGAATTTTTCGACTTTTTTAACATCACCAGAAACTTTGTTTTGATAAACTTTTTTATCAACTACAATATTATTTGCCATTTTTGAACTTGTCGGTTGACTTTGAGAAACGTTATTTCCAATAATTGGCACATTTTGATAAGTGAAAATCTGAGTGTCATTCCAAACTAACGGCTGGTTGGAAACAATTTGTGGCACACTGCATTTATTTAAATAATCATTTTGAATTATTTTTATTTCCTGCACAGAATTCGATTGAGGAACATTTTTCGCTACAGGTAAAATACTAACTTCTTGTCTTAATGGCACTATTTTTTTTAACACAGCCAAAGTTGGTTTCTTTACTTGCAATTTCGGTGCAATTTTTTGTTGAAACTTGAATTTCTTATCTTCTCGAGTATTCGTTGTTTCAGAAGTTCGATTGTGAATTTTAAGGCAAATTGGTTCTTCTTGTAATTTATAATTTGAATCTCCAACAGTCATATTTGAATTCCTTTGAAATTTGTCGCTATTATTATTATTCTTTGGCGATTGATTATTATTTAAAGCGTTTACAGTAGAAATTTCATTTTCAAAAGATTTGTTCATTTTGTAGAGAAGTTGAAGACTGAGTATTGATAATGACAGTTCCTCCACTGTATGAACAGTAATTTGATGTTGATGCATTTCCACAGGTGTTGACATCGAACAAGTGCAAACAATACACTGATAATTAGTGTCCACAGTTTGAGTTGATTTTTGACAACATGAAGGAACCGATTGATTTCTTGAATTAGAACCTGCAAAAAAGTAAAAAAACACCTTGAGGTTTTATTACATAAAGGTATACATATTTTTTATTCATTTATACACAATTTAAAGGTTATAAATGTTATTGTTTACTTTTTTTTCACTTTAAAACTTTCCGTCGATTTCGAGAAGCTGCAGTTAAAAAAATACTTATTGTTGTTGAAAATACAATAAAAACAGTAGCTCATCTAAATATTCTATAATGTATTTAAAGGTTAAATACCTGTTGAATCAAAAAAATTGCCGGCATTGTCTGTATTTTCCGACGTCATTTTCTCTTTGTTCATTTTTGCTCATATCACTCATATATCACTTCTAAGGAATGTGTAACTTAAAACGTGCTATCAAAAATGTGCTAATAGAAATTATTTTATTCGGCATTACAACTTTGAGAAGTTGTAGAAAGAAATCACATTGTTTACATCTACACCACGCATATCACTTGCTAATTTACTATTTACTATCACATACACAATACCAGCCGGTAAATTTTAAACAAACAAAAACTTGCTTCACTCTATTCGAAATGGGTGTGAAGTTAGTCGAAACTAGAATCGATTAATCAATTGAGCCAAATAATAATTCAAAAGTTCCCGCGTTGACTACAATGATTTTTTTTTTCCTATAAATGGTTTGCAAGCCTGCTTTTCGCCACGCAAGTAATAACCTCAAAATTCTAAAGTGTCATTTTACTGTCAAAATTTTTATAAATAAAATATTTTCTTTAGTAAATATTAATTTATTAAATTCGCACAAATGAGCGAAAATGAGCAATTCGAAAATAGTTACTGACAATTTAATAAAATGGGACGATTCGTCGATAAATGCCCTCGCGCCATTGACGATAAATCAAAAAGAATGGTTAGAAAATTTAGAGGAAGAAATTTTATTATCTGATTCTGTCAATTTTAATGAAACTCCCGATAAAAGGAATTTGGGAGAAAATAATCATTTTAGTGGAACTGTCGAAAGAATTGAGACTTGTCAAGAATTATTACAATGCTATACCGAATTGGAGAAAAAGTAAGTTTTAATTTTACCTTATTTTTGTATTTTTTTATATATTTTATTAAAATACTGGTAAAGAGGTAAACTAATTAAATTCTTTTTGCAAAAATTTACTTGAATTTTTTTTTAAATAATGGAGTTTCTTTAATAATTTTAATTGAAAATTTTGAAAGCAATTGAATTTTATGGGGAAGAATTTTATTAAAATTGTATGAAAATAATTGAATTCCTGAGCAGAATTGAATTATTGATGAACAATAATTTATAATTCTTGCGAAAAATTTAACCCTATTTATAAAAATAATTGAATTGTTCCGCAGAATTGATTCAAAATTTTAGAAAATAAATGAATTTTATGTAAATATTTGAAAATAATTAAATTCTTTCGAGGAATTCTATTAAAATTATTTTGAAAAGAATTGAATTTCTGCAAAGAATTTTAGTATTTATAAAAATAATTGAATTCTTTCGTGAAATTTTATTAAAATTGTATTGCAAATAATTCAATTCCTGCGAAGAATTTTACTATTTATAAAACTAATTGAATTCTTCCAAGGAATGTTATGAAAATAATTGAATTGTTCCGAAGAATTTATTAAAATTTTAGGAAATAAATGAATTTTATGTAAATATTTGAAAATAATTAAATTCTTTCGAGAAATTCTATTAAAATTGTTTTGAAAAGAATTGAATTGCTGCAAAGAATTTTACTATATTTATAAAAATAATTGAATTGTTTCGAAGGATTTATTAAAATTTAAAAAAAAAATTTAAATTCTTTCGAGAAATTCAATTAAAGTTGTTTTGAAATTAATTAAATTTTAAAGCAATTTATTAAAATTAATTACATTCAAAATAATTGAATTCTTTCGAATAATATTATTATTTATATAAAAATAATTGAACTCTTGCGAAGAATTTTATTAAAAGTTTTGAAATTAATAAACAAGATTAATTAATTAGTAAATTAGTTATTAATTGAATTTTTTAAATTTTGACTATGAAATTATTCAAAAATTTAAATTTGAAAATAAAAAATTTTGTAATTTGGATAATAATAATAAATTGAATATCTCGTTCCGTCATTTGCTAGTTTAAAATAAAATAATATTAAAAAAAAAATTTTTTTGAAAGAAAATATATACTTAATTAGTAAGTAATAATAATTATGGAAGTCTAATAATTATTAGATTTGGATGATTTGAATAAATTAATATTTTTTATCCAGATATATTTTGGCAGAAGATGCAAAGTACATGACGTATCTCAAGCAATTAACGTGTCGTCGGGAGGAATGTGACAATCTACACTCGGAAATTGGAAAATCTTTGGCTGACTTTTCGACACTTTCGAAGCAATACAGTTTAGTATCGGGAAAAACAACATCTTTGTACGATGCAAGTGAACAATTGATTGCCGATCAGGAGACATTGAACACTTTAACGAATAGTGTCGCGGAGTATATAAAATATTTCAAAGAAGTTGATATTATCATGGATAAATTAGACGCTCCAACACTTTCCGTTAACAGTGAAGTATTCTTCAATCTCATCAACAAAATCGACACGAACATGGACTTTATGCAAAATAATCCAACTTTTAAAGAGAGTGCAACCTATTCGATGAAATATCGTCATTGCCAATCCAAAGCAATTACGTTAATAACCAACTATATTTTCAAATCTTTAGCAAAAGCTACGGAGAGCATTTTAAATTCCAAAACTGGAGGTTTAGAGGAAAATTCCGACGCGACTTTGGCTTTGTTTTACGGTCGATTCCAAACGACTCTACCAAAAGTGAAATCAATTATCGAGAGGATCGAAGCGATGTCGTATAAGCGACAAGAGTACGATACACTTTTGACAGAATGTCATCAGTACTACTTAAGCCAAAGAGGATTGGTTCTTGGACCGAGTGTTCAAAAGGCGTTGCAATCAGTCAAGGATAAATGTAATGGCGATCATTGTAGTCTTGTGCGACATTCTTGTGCATTACTCCTTCATGCTTCCATCGACGAACATAGATTATTTTATCAATTTTTTACAAAATTCTCGCCAAGTTTGACTGCTTATTTAGAAGGTCTTTGCACATCTCTCTACGATACTTTACGACCATTTATCATTCACATCAATCATTTAGAAACTCTAGCCGAGATTTGCTGTATTCTCAGGATAGAAATGCTCGACGAGCATGTACAAAATAATTTCGAACCTCTACAGGGCTTTGGAAATATTTGCCTCCAATTGTTACACGACGTTCAGGAAAGATTAGTCTTCCGTGCACATTTATATTTACAAACGGATGTCGCTGGTTATAAACCGTCGCCTGGCGATTTGTCATATCCGGAGAAATTGAAAATGATGGAAGAAATTGCCCAATCGATACGCGAAGAAACGAGGCAAATTAAATTAAAGAGAATATCGGTTTCGTCAATGGATAGTAATATTTCGGAGCCAATTTCAAGAACACACTTGACAATGGATCCGTATTATCAGAGAAGTAATATGGGCAATTCACCGGCTGATCTTCATGGAATGTGGTATCCGACAGTGAGAAGAACACTCGTTTGTTTATCGAGACTTTATCGATGTGTTGACAGGCCTGTTTTTCAATCTCTCAGTCAGGAGGCGATTACTCTTTGCGTTCAGAGTATCGAGGAGGCAAAACAACAAATTCAATCGCGAGCCACTCAATTGGACGCTGAACTCTTTCAAATCAAACATCTTTTGATTTTACGAGAACAAATCGCACCCTTTCAGGTAAAAATTGAAAATTGTCTTTATCCTTTTATTTTTTCTTTTAAAAAAATCCATTTAAGAAACTAATTATCATTTCAGGTGGATTTTACGGTCAAGGAATACAGTCTGGATTTCTCGAAAGTGAAAACAGCAGCTTTTGGATTACTCGAGAAACGTTCGCGTCTGTTTACACTATCTAACAATGCCCTTTTGGAATTTCTTTTAGAAGGCGCTCCTCAAATGAAGGAGCATTTGATCGATTCACGTAAACACGTGGACGCTAAACTTAAATCCACTTGTCAAAGACTGATTCAGTATTCGACGAATTTATTAATCGAACCAGTACTGAAATTATTGGAAAAAGCAAAGATTACTGGTGAGAATAAAAATCCGGAATTAGGAACTGCACAAGATGTCGCCGCTTCTGTTAGCGAAGCAATACGATTGATAAAATTTAAATTACCCGGTCTTCAACAATCAATGCAATTATATTTAGCAAACAAAGAAACGGAATGCATTTTATTTAGACCAATTAAGAATAATATTGTCGCTGCTTTTACGCAATTATTGCAAATTTTAAATACCTGTTATAATTCGGAAGATCTTATGTTAATTGCCTGTCCAATTCCAGAACAAATTTCCGTAATGTTAAGTTCATCGAGTCTTATTACACAGGGAAAAATGATTGATCAAGAAAAACCGAAATCTAGTGTCTCAATGGAAAAAGAAGAAACGTGAATTTGTGTGAGAGCTTTCATTTTTTTAATTATAGGCGTTTGTAAATATTGTTTTTAAATTGTTCGCAATATAGAGTATTTTTTACTGTAAAAAAAAGATGATGTAAATATAAAAACTGCAGTGTACAGTTTCATGGTGTAAATGATAATTTATACAGGAGAGAAAATTATTAAAGCTGAATATTAAAAATAACGGTTTACTTATATTTTTAATCATAAACTATAGATACAAGTTTTTTTTACTTGTATACGAACTTTTTTTTTTAAAAAAAGAAACTTTTTTTAGTATTTTAGTCATCTCACAGCCAGAAATGATTTGGAGCTAAATTAATAAAATAATTTTTCGTAAATGTATTTTAAATCACATCTTACTCTAAAACTCGCTTTGTATATAGCTGGTAAATAATTTTGCTAGCTACGGGTCCGAGTTGGCGATTTGTGTTTCCATATTGTAATGGACTGAGTAATTCCTGTCCATTAATGTCCGAATCAATCATCGCAGTGTAAAGTAATTTTGGTGTTGGAAATACTTCCACAATAGCTGTAGCTTTCTCTTGAGAAACTCCTTTTATTTGTGCGAGTTGACGTTTAAACATGTCTTTCACTTTTATGTGCTGAAAAAAAATATTATTGAAATATTTTCAAGAATAATTCAAGCTTGTTGAAGTAAACAGGGCTTGAACCAGTGAAAGTATTAAAAAATACGGACTTTAAGGACCAAAAATGAAAAAATACGGACTGTACGGACCAATTACTGACAAAAATATAAGTCCGAGTCAAATAAGAGAACATTTTACTTAAAACTATAAATTAAAGTTTTTATTAACTATAAAACATGTGATAAAATCATTATTATTATTATAAAAATACTGTAGTTCTTCAAAATTATTTTTATCATTTCAATTCAATTATTATTTTCAAGAATTTTTAACTAAAATTCTTCTTTAAATCAATTATTTTTAATAATTTTCGAAAAAGTTCTTTGACAATTTTCAAATTCATTTGTTTAGAATATTCAATTTTACGAAATTTCAATTATTCGTAAATTCTTCAATTAAATATATTTTAGAAAATAAAAACTTCAAATAATATAAAAAAAATTCAATTAAACTTTTTCAAAAAATTTAATTTCAAAATTCAATTATTTCTAAAAATCCACGCTACAATTCTTTTAATATTCAATTATATCTAAAATGCCAACTAAAATTAATTTTCAATTCAATTTTTTATGAGAAATTTCTACTAGAATTCAACTATTTAAATACAAAAATAAATAATTTATTATATAATTGAATTTTTCTTAAAATTGAATTATCAAAAAGAATTTTTTCAACAAATTTTTAAGTAATTGAATTCTTTAGACGAATTTTAATAAAATTTTTAAGAATAATTACAATTTTCGAGAAATTTGATTAAAATTGTATTAAAAATAATTGAAATTCTGCGATGAGTTTTATTATTTATGAAAATAATTGAATTCCTAAAAAGAATTTTATTATTTTTGAACATAATTAAGTTTTTGCGAAGAACTTCATTACTTTTAAAAATAATTGAATTTCTACAATAATTTGTAATTTCTCAAAAATTAAATTTTTTAAAAGTGTTTTAAAATAAAATTCGTCTATAAATGCATTATTTTTTTAATAATTTTTGAAAAAGTTTTTTGAGAATTTTCAAATTTATTTGTTTACAATTCAATTCAATAAATATTTTATTATTATTATTTTATTATTCTAAAAATAGAATTTTCATAAAAAATTTTATCAACAAATTTTTAAATAATTGAATTCTCTTGACAAATTTTAATAAAGCTTTTAAGAATAATTTCATTTTTCCAGAAGATGAAAATTTTATTAAAAATAATTAAAATTCTGCTAAGAATTTTATTAAAATTTTTGAAAATAATTTAATTCTTTGAAGAAATTTAATTAAAAATGTATTGAAAATAATACTTAAATTGAAATATAATTAATTTGTAGCAAAGGTTTTTAAAATAATTGAATTTCTTTAATAAATTTTAATAAAAGTTTTAAGAATAATTGCACTTTTCAAAGAATTCCGTAAAAATTGTATTCAAAATAATTGAAATTTGTGAGTTTATTTATTTATGGAAATAATTGAATTCCTAAAAAGAATTTTATTTACGAAAATAATTGATTCACTGTAAAAATTTTATTATTTATGAAAATAATTGAATTATTTAGAAGAAATTTATTTTAAAAATTAGGAAGTAATTGAATTCCTGTGAAATTTTTATTATTTATGGAAATAATTGAATTATTTAGAAGAAATTTATTTAAAAAATTAGTAAATAATTGAATTCCTGTGAAATTTTTATTATTTAGGGAAATAATTGAATTCTTGTGAACGATTTTAATAAAATTTTTGTAAATATTTGAATTTTTTTAAAGAATTTTATGAAAATTTAAAGGAATAATTCAATTATTTTTACTAATGTTATTAAAATGGTACTAAAAATAATTGAAATTTTTCAATTAGGTATTTATAAATATAAATTAATGAATTCTTAAAAAGAATTTTATTTTTTATGAAAACAATCAAATGTTTGCGTAGAATTTTATTAAAATTTTTGAAAATAATTGAATTACGGAGAATTTTACTATTTATAAAAATAATTGAAATTTTGACGAGAATTTAATTATTTCTAAAAATAATTGAAATTTTGACGGAAATTTTATTATTTCTAAAAATAATTGAAATTTTGACGAAAATTTTATTATTTCTAAAAATAATTGAATTACTGCGAAGAATTTTATTACTTTTGCAAATAATTGAATTTCTGCAATCATTTGTAACATTTGTAATTTTTCTAAAATTTTACAAATTATATCGTATAATTTACGAACTTTTCGCCCTTTTTCTATCAATTTACGGACTTTACGGACCTCTTTTAAAAAAACTGACTATTACGGACTTGAATAAAATTTACAGAGCTAGTTCGAGCCCTGAGTAAAAAACCCAAAAGAAAAATAGAGAAAGAAATTACAAAAAAATACCTTTGATTTTGCGTTGTCCTTATTAAATTTCTGAAATTCCATCACTCGTTCAGATTTTTTAGTAACATCGATAAAATCTAAGTCTTCCTTCTCGACACAAATTAATTGCTTGCCCTGAAAATAAAAACAAAATAGAATATGGAACAAAATTAAAAAGCATATATACAATTTTCTTTCATACCGAATACTTATTTCTCAAACTTTTTGTTAATATTGACAAATAGGACATTGAGTCTTGATGACTGTCAGTGTATTGAACAATGAAACCATCACGAATCATGGTGCTAACTGAGGCTTGAAAAAGAGCCTTTTTATCCAAAACAGTATGTTCATTGTTAGCATAAGTTTCTATCAAGTAAATACGATTTTTAATTCCTGAGTTCTTCATTCTCCACTGTAAATAAAATTTAGTTTTAGAAAGAAAAGAAAATGATTCAATCGAGATTTTTTTTACCTTTTGTTCACGATATCTTTCATCTTTTATACTTTGTGCCAAATCATCAATTCTCTTTCTCTCAACAATATGCGGAAGTACAACTTCTTGTTTTGTATTTCGACACCTGGCTATCCACAAGAAATCTCCAAGTTTCAAGTGTCGTACTTCGAAATTTACCTCCAAGGCTCTTAATTCTTTACAAGTCTCATCAACCTTTTGTTTTGCTTTTCTAAAATCAATATTAATTAAAAATTTTCCATAAAAAATATTGTAATTGTAATTTATTAAAGGTGGAAGAAGTTAATTGTAATTTATATTTGTAATCTTACCCGCTAGTTTCTTGAACGTCGACCAATAACAAAATATCGAACGTATAAGGTTCAAAAACGAATTTTTGAAAATTTTCTCTACTTTTCAAAGTTGGCGGAATATTTTCCACATTAGATAAAAAATTTTCTTCAGTAAAATTAGAGGGAAATCTTTGTTGAAATTCTGGTTGTTTCGTGGACGTTGACGGGATATTTTTTATCTGGTCATAATAATTGTCATTGTCAAAATTATAGAGTCTTTCCTGACTTTTTGATTGTTTTGTTGACGTTGACGGAATATTTTTTATCTGATCATAATAATTGTCATTGTCAAAATTATAGAGTCTTTCCTGTCTTTCCGTTTGTGCTTTTGAAGTAGACGGAATGCTTCGAAAATTATCGTCAATATTAGCAAGTGCAAAATTTGACAATGAATGAGGTTTCGGTCGAACTTGAACCGCTTCATCTTCGTCTGAACTATCGAGAAGGGTGACATCAGCTCTAGTTGTGAAACTCGTATTGTTGACATTTCCATTATTTTTCTTTGAATTTTGCATGGCTTCGACAAGTTTTTCTCCTTTAGCACTGATACGGAACCTTTAAAAAATTATCATTTTATAAATATTAACAATTTTGACGCTCAGGGTGTCTAACACAGATTGAGGAAAGAATTCTCTGATATTTTTGTACTTTTTACTTAAATGTAAATGTTAACTTACCTGGAAGGTTTGCTCCAGGATACAACGAGTTCTTCTTTTACAAGCTTTGTCATTGAATTCCAAGCAGTATAAAATGTACCAGCTTGAGCTTTTGATAATGACGTGTCGCATATGGGCTGTGCCTCTTGTTGCAATTCTGCCTTTGTCATGTAACCTAATATTAAACAAAATACGAATTTACTTTCTGGAAAAATCCTCTAAATTTTAATGAATTAATTCTGACTGCCTTTGTCTCAATTTTTTAAATTTACCTTTATAACCTGGAAGTTTTGACTGTAAATACAAAGTTGTGAGTAAAGCTTCACCACCTGTTCCTGGTTTGGGTACGTAAGTCCTTGGTGACTGAAAAGAGCACCATTCTTGAATTATTTGTTAAATTATACTTTTCTGATTGTTTTTTTTTCAAATGCCTTCTTTTTTGTTACTATTTTCTTTTTACTTAAAATTGTTTTCCATTAAAATTGTATATTTTTACTATAAATTACCTTCATTTTCCTAGGAGTTCCATTTCCCTCCATATGCTGATCCAACCTCTTAGTTATCATGGCACAAACGCCCGAACCGAAGTATTTTAATTTCCGACAGTCTTCTCCAGTATAAAGTACTTCTTTATGCTCCTTGAGAGACTTGGCAGCTTTTCCTAAACACTGTTTAAGTGGTTCTTTCTTTTGTTTCGCTGCCTCCTCTTTCCATTCCAAAAGCCATTGTAAAAAGAGCGGATTGGCACATTCTTCCTCCTTACGCCGTTTCATCTTTACGCTAGAAATACATTCTTTTATTACATTCGATATTTAAAAATATATATTACGTGCATAATTTATAAGGTTTCAGTCTTTATCAAACAATTTTAAATAATGAATAAATAATAATTTAATTTTGGTTATAAGGAAGTCTATCTACACAAAAAGACATGTCTCGTCAAAAATTGACTATGAAATAAATAAACAAAAAATATTAATTAACTTAATAATTTCAGATTCAAACTTTAAAAAAATTCAATTATTAACTAATTTACTAATTAATTATATTCTTGTTTATTAATTTCAAAAATTTTTTTTTAATTCTTCACAAGAATTCAATTATTATCATAAATAATAACATTCTTCAAAGGAATTCAATTATTTTCATTAATAATAAAATTCTTCGGAGAAATTCAATTATTTTTAAATAAAATTTTAATAAAATCCTTCGAAACAATTAAATTATTTTTTTAAATGGTAAAATTTTTTGCAAAAATTCAATTATTTTCAACAAAATTTCACGAAAGAATTCAATTTTTTTCTTAATTCGTTATAAAATTTTTCAAAAGAATTCGATTATTTTCTAAAAAAAATTTCACGAAAGAATTCAATTATTTTCCTGAATAAAAGAATTCTTCGAAGGAATTCTATTTTTATCAAATTTTTTAATAAAATTCTTTGCAACAATTTGATTATTTTCAATACATTAATTTTAAAATTGAAAATATTTAAAAAGAAAAATTACTATTAAAAAAGTTTACGAAACAGAAAAGAAAACGACAACTTCAAACTGCGAACAGATTACCGGAATACAATGATTATTAATTTAGATTTTTATTTATAAACATTGAATATTTATAATCCGACTAGATAGCTATAGAAAATATTAAACCCTACCCCAAAAATCTTCCAACCAATGTAATTACAATGAATTATTAATTTGAAATTGAAATTTCAATATTTTGACGTAAACAAAATTTCACCGGTGTTTCGTTTATCTACAACAAAAACAGAAATTGTCGAAATCCACACAAGTTTCTCAAAAGTATTTTTTATACTCACGTCTGATAAAAATCACAAATAAAAATCTATAGAATAATTCAAATTGTTTAAATTTAAATGATTTAAATCATAAATAATAAGATACAAAAGCAAATAGTTCTACAAATGTCAACAAACAATGGCGAACACTGTGAATATTGCATATAAGGGATACCAACCTACTTCGGATTTTTAACTTCCCAAGGTTGGTAATCTTTTCATTTCTAAAAAGTGTCTAGAAAAAAATCTCGTAATTATCAATTTTCTGCAATAAAAAAGAATATGTTTTTCAATTTTGATTAAAAAATACAATAAATAATATTCTCTGGTAATAGAATTCTTAATAAATGTCTTTAATAAGTTTTCGCTGTTGATAATTAACTGCGTTTTTTATCGTTTTTGTCAAGTGCGCGTTAGACACGTGGTTTTCTAACCTCACTTTTTTCTCTTCGAAAAAACTAAAAAAATACGATTTTTAAAGTTATAAATCAAGGAAATCAAGTATGACAATCTATCACGACGAGGTAGAAATTGAGGATTTTGAATACGATCCCGAAGAAGAGCAATATACGTATCCATGTCCTTGTGGCGATCGTTTTACAATAACCAAAGCCGACTTGCTTGCAGGAGAAACTGAAGCACTTTGTAACTCGTGTTCACTTGTTGTTAAAGTGATTTATGATTTGAATAAACTTCTCAAGGAGGAAGAAGAGGCAAATTCAGCGAAGAAATCACATCAACAGACACAAAAAGCATAGGTAATTTATTATTCTTTTTCTTGTATAAATTCCCCAAGTTTCATTAATTCAAATCTCACCATTTGTTTTAAGAAGTAAACGAAGTAAAGATTTTAATAATAAATAAAAATAATAATAAATCTTCCTCTAATATAGAATTTAAGTATTTTTGCTTCTTTCCAGATAGTTTTTTTTATATAGAATAAAAGAAAGAAGCTACAATGGCGGGCCGTGGTCGAGGACGAGGTAAACCGACAATGTCGATTTCCAATGAACAATTGGGACTTAGTAAAGAACAACAACCACCGCAAGTTGCACAGCCACCGCCAAAATTTCCACCTCTAGTTTACAAACCAGTGACATTTAACATTACTGACGAATTCAGTTATTTATTCGAATTGAAACGTGATTTTGCCGAATTCATGAAGGAATCCGCATATAATGTCGAACCAGTTATTATTAAAAAGGATATTGATCGTTATTCCGATCACTATTTAAGTAAGGTCACGAGTTTCGAATCCAGATACGACTGGACGAGAATGCCCGTCGAATTAAAACCATTGACGAAGAAACGTAAATCAGTGAATAGTGGTGTTGTTATTCCAAATAAGCGAAAAGAGATAAACATTGAGGAGAAATTGAAGGAACTCGAGAAGAAGGAAATTAGTCATAATTCTGATGTTGAGGAAGATACTAAGGAAGAAGAGGACAAGGAGGAGAAGGATCCAGATGAAATAATAGAAGATGAGGAGGAGGATATTGATGAGGAAATGGATGATGGAACCGATTATGTTAATAATTATTTTGATAATGGAGAAGGTTACGATGAAGAAGAAGATAATATTGACGATGGCCCTGTGTATTAAAGGTATTTTGTTTACTAATTTTAGTAAACAAAAACAATTTTCCTCAAATTTATTGTATATTGCTCTTTTTAATTTAAGCATTAAGCGGAATTTGTTTTTTCAATAATAACAGGGCTCGAACTAGGTCCGTAAAAGTCAGTTTTTTTGAAAAAAGGTCTGTAAAGTTCGTAATTTGTTAGAAAAAGGACGAAAAGTTCGTAAATTGTACGATATAATTTGGAGAATTTTAGAGAAATTACAAACGATTGCAGAAATTCAATAATTTTCAAAAGTAATAAAATTCTTCTCAGAAATTCAATTACCTATGTTAAAAAATTTTTAAAAATTCTCTCCAAAATTCAATTATTTTCAAAAATTTTAATTAAATTCTTGACAAAATTTCAATTATTTCCAAAAATTTTCCTCAATTCATAATGCTTTTCAATATCTAGTATATTAATAAAATTTTCCAAAAAAATTCAATTATTTAAAAAAAATGTAATAAAATTCTACGCAAAACATTTAATTATTTTAATAAAATAATAAAAATTATATTCAAAAATTTACCAAAATTCTCTTCTAAATTTTAATTATCCATAATAAAATTTTTCTCCGAAATTTAATTATTTTCAAAAATTTTAATAAAATTCTTTGTTTGCATTTTAATTATTTTTAATACAATTTTCATCAAATTTCTCGAAAAACGAAATTATTTTTTAAAAATTTATTAAAATTTGTCAAGAGAATTCAATTATTTAAAAAATTTGTTAATAAAATTCTTTATAAAAATTCAATTTTAAGAAACATTCAATTATTTAATAAAATATTTATTTTTCTATTTAAATAATTGAATTCTCGTAGAATTTTCTAATAAATATTGATTTAAAAATGAATTTCACTTAAAATTAAATTGCAAACAAATGAATTGAAAAATTCTCCAAGAACTTTTTCAAAAATTATTAAAAAATAATAGATTTATAGAAGAATTTTAGTAAAAAACACTAAAAAAAATTGAATTTTGGAGAAATTACAAATTATTGCAGAAATTCAATTATTTTCAAGAGTAATAAAATTCTTCGCAGAAATTTAATTACGTTTAAAAATATGAAAATTCTTTTTAAAGAATTTTCAATTTTTCAATTATTTTCCATACAATTTTAATCTAATTTCTCCAAAAAAGGAATTATTCTTAAAAATTTTATTAAAATTCGTCAAAAGGATTTAATTATTTAAAAATTTGCTGATAAAATTCTTTATGAGAATTAAATTTTAAGAAACATTCAATTAATTTAATAAATTATTTATTTTGTATTTAAATAATTGAATTCTAGTAGAAGTTTCTAATAAAAATGATTTAAAAATGAATTTCATTTGGAATTTTAGAAAATTGAATATTAAAAGCATTGTTGCGTGAATTTTTAAAATTAATTGAATTTTGAAATTAATTTTTTTGAAAAAGTTTAATTTAATTTTTTTTTATATTATTTGAAGTTTTTAATTTCTAAAATATATTTAATTGAAGAATTTACGAATAATTAAAATTTCGTAAATTGGAATAATCTAAACAAATGAATTTGAAAATTCTCAAAGAACTTTTTCGAAAATTATTCAAAATAATTGATTTAAAGAAGAATTTTAGTTAAAAATTCTTAAAAATAATTATTGAATTGAAATGATGAAAATAATTTTGATTGTATATTTTTTCGTCAGTAATAGATCCGTAATTTTTCATTTTTGGTCCGTAAAGTCCGTATTTTTAAATAATATCACTGGTTCGAACCCTGATAATAGAAAATTGCTCAATTGGTAAATTTTCAGCTTTCCGGCATTTGAAACTTTCAGAGCGGAAGTAAAGTAGATTTCTATTCTCGCCTCTACCTTTCTACGATAATTGTAAATTTATTTTACTCACAAATAGTAAAATCACTTTTTCGAGAATCGAGAATCATAAGTTGATCATTTCTTGAGAATTCTTGAAAACCTAAATCAATTAAATATTTATCTTAATACTTAGAAAATTTATATTTGATTGAATTCTATTGATTTTTGTATTGTTGAAAATGCATGTTTATAAATGTCAATCGATAAAAATGCAGTTGTTGAAATTATTAACAATCATGGGACAAATTTTGAAAGAAAAGTTTTAATCGAAATCGTTAAATTTAAAATACAATTGACTTTTAGTTTTTTTTGTCTTATAACGAATTTTTTAAATACTGAACATTATTTTTAAATGCAGAGTGCAAACTGCTGACATTGAATTTCGAATTCCGGGCACGTTTGCTACACTCACGTAACACATTACAGAAGCAGAATCTGCATTGGTTACAAGCGGTTGCTGTATCACTGTCCTAAACATAAGCCTCCTATCAACCTTCATTTAAATAGCGGAATACAAATTATTAATCATAAATTTTCAATTTTATTTTATTCTTTTTTTATTAATTCAATTAATTATTGAGTTTATTCCTAATTTTTTCTATTATTAACATAAGTTTATTTGAATTTACGATTAATTAATTTAGCAATTATTAACTAATTAATTTCTATTCAATTTCAACGATTGCCTCAAAATATGTATATTTCGAGAATATAATTTGTCGAGACACAAATTGAAAATAAAATACAATTTATTTGAAAATTACAAAAGAATCATATATCTGTGTTTATGACCCATTGAATGAAAGAAACGAATCGCATTTAACAAAATCACAGTTTTACAAAGGATTGAGATTTAATTAACGTTCTCAAAAAGTTTCACAACAAAAATAAAATTGTGTTGAATGAAATGAAATCGTTTCATACTCGTTTCGTATGCAAGAGAGTAATCAAAAGGAGTTTATATAAAAGGGGACAAGTCATTCTCCAAAGTTCAGTGAAAATTTGACTGTCGAGTGAAATCATATAATATGCAGGTAAAACAAAATGATTAGCGAATATCTCCTCACTTTTCCACGTGTTTGTGAAACAAATTTAAAATTTCACGTATAGAAGAAAATTAGAAAAAATATTAAAAAGATTAAAATTAAAAAAAAGAGTTAATTAAACAAAGCTTTCACAAGACGAAGGAAAATTAAGTAAAATAGTTTTAATTTGATATAAATTAATTTTGATATAAATTTTAATTTTGTTTTTAATTTGATTTAAAAAGAGAATTTTCTTTTTTTTTGAAGTAAAAGAAGTGGAAGAAGTGAAAGAAAAGTAAAAAGTAATAAAATCTTGAGGCGATCTTTTAACGTTTTAATCTTGTTTTCAGAAATTGCTTTTGACCATTTTCCTTGGAGTGGCAGTGGGAAATTTGGCTCCGTATGCACCTCGGGGATGGCGACCGCATGGTCAATCGTTTAATCCGAGCAAAAATCAATTACAATCATACGGTCCACCTGCTGCATCCCTAACTTACGGATCATCGGAGTCAACCACACGCTATCCACCATTTGCAACAACAAAACAACCGCAGACCACTACAACAACAACCACAACGACGTTTAGAAGCAGTAGCAGAGAACCAACAACTACTCCGCCTCCAATACCTGAGGAAGACATCGCAAATAATCCCGCTTTCGCCATTGCGAATTCTTTCGCATTCAACAGACCAGTTTATATCTATAATACGTATCCTTTTTCCGGCTTCACTGTAATATGACCAAATAGAACTTTCACGAAGCTTACTAACTTCGCGTTTTCAATTTGAGACTGATATTCACGAGTGAAAAGATAGAGTTGCGTTTCTTTTTTTTTCTTCTTTTTTATTAGAGGAGAAAACTTCTTTTTTTGTTGGAAAAGAAAACAGCGAATTTTGCAAAAAATTGTTGATTTTTCGATTATTAAATTTATCATTTACTGAATATTTAGTAATATTATTGATATTAAATATCGAATGAAATATAATATTCTGGTGATTATTTCAATATACATACAATTTGAATTTTGATAATAAATATTGAATACACTCTCGATGTTCTAATTAACGTTCACTTAAGCTGTTTCTATCCAGTTTTTTTATTAACAATTATTTGATCCGCAAGTTTAAATTACAAACGAAATTAAATCCACTAATGAACGAAATATTTTTCATTAGGAATATTTTCATTTTTTACTGGTTGTAATAAAAATTAAAAACTCAAAGTTTAGAAATTTAGAAAATTTAGTAATTTAGAAATTTTGAAATTAATTTTTTTGACAGTGACGCAAAATTATTGCTGTAAAAATTTAATTTGAAGAATAAATAAATAAATTTTGTTCAATTAAACAAATTTAAAACATACAAATCATACAATTATAAAAGAATTATTCTCATTCAATATTATTATTCCAAAAGTAAATATTACTACTTCTAAAGCAAATTTTTCTAATTTTTAATTTCTTCGGAAATAGTAAAGTTATTCGTGAAATAAAAATTTGAACAGTCAATTTTAATATTTTTAGAGGAAATTTTACAAAGTCCGAAGTAAATTTTACTATTTTTATTGAAATTTACTCCGGTTGTAATAAAATTCATGGAATTTTAAAAGAAAAGTAGAGTTCTAACCAAAATTTTGATTCAAAATTTAGAAAAATTGAAGATTACGGAAAAATATCAAGATAAATAATAAACATAATTATAATAAATATTAAATAAATAAATATTCAAATGAAAAATAAGGTCAAATATTATTATAAAGTAAATAAAATATAAAAAAGAAATTTTAAACAAATAACAATGAATAAATAAATAATAAAGCTCAATAAATTAACGAAAAAAATTGAACAGAAATTTTTGACTTAAAAAAACCTGCAATTAAGAGAGAAAGGAAAAAATCTTAAAAATTAAATTGACGCTATTGTACAATTATTATTTACTTAATTTGAAAAATCATCTTTTTTTAAATTAAATAAATTATAAATTAAATCTGTTTTTTAAATTAAAAAAATTCACCCTTTTACCTAATATCAAATTACCCAAAAATCACTCTGATTCCCGCGGTTTAAAATATTCAATTTACATTTTTTTATAAGAAGTCTCATAAAATGAACGGAAATTAAAACATCGATGGTAATTACAAATCGTAAATATTGAATAAAAATTTCATTCCATATTTTTTCATATATAAAATACCATGTAATTTAGCAGTTGATTTAAAAGTAAATTATCGAATGTAGAGAATATTGTACAAAAAAAAACCATCAGTGAAATAAAAGTTATTTTTAACTAAAAATATTGTTCAATTTTGTTCATCTGACAATATTTTTAAATTATCAAAATTTTTAAATTATCTTGATAATTTAAAAAGTTTAGAAAAAAATTTGTTTTTTTATAAAAAAATGTTTTAATTTGCTTTCAAATTATCTAGTCATTAAAAAAATTTTGTTTAATTTTAGATGATCGCAAGGCTTTTTTGGTTTACGTTTGACCATTTCGAAATTCAATTTTCGAATTAAGTGTTGAAAATCTTTCTCAGCACTTGATACATTAATCCATGTCAAGTATCGTTAGACGATTGATTTTTTACTCTCAAGTCTCAACGAAAATAGAGAAATACATCAAACTTAGATTTCAAGTCTATTACTGATCTTTGTGTCGGAAGGATAGTTCCAATAAACTTTTATGAAAAGGGTTTGAAGATGGCTTTCGACATTCGACAAATATAATTGCAACAACAGATTCTTTTCTGATGGTTGAATTTCTCTCGCTCAAGTGGAATAACGTGACAATATAACGTTAAAATTGAACATCTCAAGAAACACCCGAGTAAGTGCTTTCAATATTTAATATTAATTAAACAAGATGAATTTTATTACTATAAATTTATTATTACTATAAATAAATACCAATAATTATTATTCAATAATTAATTATTTATTTATTTAGAAATGGGCAAAGTTTTAACAGAGCTAAAAATAATAAATTATTCTTTATTAAATACATTTATTTACTAAATAACAATTCTTATATTTTCAAAACTTTTGTTTTATTATATTCGAATTTTCAACTGCAAACGTAAAACAAATGTTTGTCAATAATTTTGACTCGACGGTTTATTTTTCTCACTGGGAATTTTAATGAAACAATAATATGGAAAAGTCAACATGATATTTATTGAAACAATTCCAAAACCAAATATTCGTTGAAATCAATATTCTATACTTTTGTAAATTCATATTTTTTTCATTAATGAAAAACAGTGCAGAACTTACAAAAAAAAGGTTAAAATTTTTCTTTCAAATTTTTTTCCGCGGTAAAAAATTTGTTTTTACTCTATTGATGTGTTTTATTGGAAAAAAAATTTTTTATTGTTTTTTTTATCACTTCTCACTGACACATTTTTCATTTTTATTTCATCAGTTTCCTTCAAACCACTGCCTATAATCGTGCCACTCGAAATGTGCAAACAATGAAAATAGAAAAATGAAAAAAATATAAAAAAATATACTCCACGTGGTTCAATAATAATAAAAAAAAATTTGAAAAAACAAAATTCCTTGATAACTTTTTCTTTTGTTGTATAGAAAAAAAAGAAATTATAAAAAAATATACATATATACTTGATAGATTGCGAACTCCTTTCAAAGGCAGATGGAAAATTTATTTTGAAATGCTCACTTATTTTTCCAGTTCATTCGAGTCAGAAAACTGGAAGTTCCCTCTGAAGTAAAAGTTGAATATTTTTTCCACTCTTTGGTAAAATGTATTTAACTTTTATATTTTTATTTTCGATTTACAATCTTCTTTTTGGAGTTTATACAAAAGTAATTAGTAGAAAAGGGAAAAAAATTTGTTGCTTTATTTACTTTTAATACTAAAAGTAAATAAATAAAAATAAATAAATATTGAGAAAGGTTTTTTCAGTAACGGAGAAATAGTGATTAGATCGTGAATTTTTTTCGGAACCATATTTTTTAAGACACTTTATTTATTATTTTATATTGAGAATCAAAAATAATGTATGACGGCAAAGAAGCAGTGAACTTTTTTATATGGAAAAGAAGTTTAAAATTTGCTGAAAAAAATGCGGAAACTTTTTTCAAGTAACAGTACGTGAGAGAAATGAAATTTATTTTTCATTATGAAAGGTGACGAGAAAAGTTAGTACTTTTTTTTATTCTAGAATTAAAAAAATATATTTTCTGCATAATTTATTTATTCTTTAAATTTTTCTTTCTTTCCTTTACTCTTTTTAGTCAAATTTATAAATTTCGGTAATTTTTTTCTTAATTATTTATTATTTATAAAAATTTTTTTTTATTTGTTTGATTATTTTTTAGTTCTTTATTTCTTTATACTTTTTTTTATTTATGTTTAATGAAATTATGAAATTAGGAAAATTAAATAAATTATGAAATTAAAAAAATATTAAAATGAATTGCTGTTGGTTCATATTTTTTTTTTTCGAGAAAAATCCATAAATCTAAGTTAGTATCGTGGTGAGTTGAAAGCAAGGAGAGAGTTAATATGTGAGGCATTTTTAAAGTAACAAACTTTATTTTTCTTTTTTATCCTCTCAGTGACATTTTACTTTGTCGTCATTTACTTTTTCATCTTTCTTGCACTCAAGTTTTCTCATAATATTCCTCTCGTCACAATATAATATATACAGAGACAGAGAGAGCCAAGCTTGGATTTGTTTTCAGAGTAAATAATTATTAGCATACACAGCATCGCAAATTCATAAAAGCAGTTTTCCCATATGACAATGTCTTTTACTCATAACAAAAATTAAACACACATGCACAAATTGCATTGTATATTTTATTTTCCGTAAATTAAAAATTATTTAATATTAAAATTTCGAAGAAGATAAATTGAAAATAAAAATTTTAAACTCTCCATCTGACTAAGACGAATTTTTTCTACACTGAAACTTGAATTTTTTTCATTTTGTTCAGTGGGAGATTTTTTACATTTTTTACATTTTCTACATTTTTATAAAATTAATTAGAAATTAAACTGACTGTAATTTATTCTGAAATCTTGAATTTTAATTTCAAGAATTTCTATTAAATTAACCACAAATTTAATTTCCAATTTTTTTTATGCAAAAAATTCTGAATATTCAAATGAAGAAAGATTTTTTCTACGTAAAATATTTTTCAAAATTATGAACTGAAAGGAAAATTAAAAACTTAAGTTAAACATTTTGAAACTAGGAATTATTTTTTAAAACGTGATTTGAATTATTTGGATCAAATAATTTTTTATTCGACGTAAAAAGTTAATATTTTAAGTAACAATATTAATAAAAACATATTATATAAAAAAATTAATTTCGAATTATATTTTCTTTTTCAGAATCGTGATTGTATCAAAATGGAACTGCGAAAGCAGAATTTCAAGATCGTTAGTAATTCTGTTTACGCAGGACTCACTCAAGCGACATCAGGATCTCACCACTGTGCGAATATAACTGAAATGGTAAAGGAATAATGTTAGCGGAAAGTAAACACGAGTATAAACAGTAAACGTAAACTCTAAAAGCGAATACAACTCGATTTCATACACCGAGTATTATACCCCAGCAGCACGTTGTGTGAAAATAACCATTGTCCGCAAAAGTGATCGTGAGTAAAATTGCACGTCGCTACAAAAAACAAAATATAATTTGTTTTATTTTTTTTTCTTTTTCGAAAATGTACAACATGATTATCGTAAATAGTTTTATTTCGTAAATTTTTGAATTTTACTGACACTAATGTTATTTCTTAATATTTGGTATAGAATTTAAAAAAATATTTTCTATATAATTTATTTAAAAAAATGAATGAAATGAAAATTTAATTAAAAAAGGAAATAAATTTAAAAAATGAAAAGTTTATCATATATTTAGGAAAAATATAGCGTCGATAAAATAATTGTATATTATTTACGAGATTATATATAGAATTTTCGATACATAATATTCGTTAATGTGAAAACCAACGAAGCTCGTGCATTCATCGACGTCACTTCACGGATAAAATTGCACCTTTAAAAGTGTCCCGGGGAAAATACAATTCGTCTTATTTGACAATGATAAAACGCTTCTTTCGTCGCGTCAAGACATGTGCGCAAATGATTCCTTTCAGTTTTTCTGATGAAAAGCAGTTAATGGAGAGTTAGTACCCGTTACAAAAGAAAAAGAATGAAAAAAAAAATTTATTTGCAGTTACAAAACATTTTGCATAAAATTCAGATAAAATTATTTTCATAGAATTAAAATTTAATAAACAAATAGATAATTTAAATACTTAAATAAATAATCAAATAATGATTCCAAATTTAAAAACGTTCAAATGAACGAAATTTATTTATTTCATCTTCAAGTTAAATTTATTTTGATAATTTTGCGTCAATGTCAAAAAAAATTAATTACAAAGTTTGTAAAGGTAAAATTTATGATTTTAATTTTTATTCCAATCAGTAATTTGTGAAAATATTAAGTAAAAAATATTTCGTTCAGTTAAACGTTCAAATGAACGAAACTTATTTATTTCTGCTTCAAATTAAATTTTCATTACAATAATTCTGCGACAATATGAAAAAAAACTAATTATAAAGTTTCAAAATGTAAAATTTATGTTTTTAATTTTCATTGCAATCAGTAATTTATGAAAATATTTTTAGTCAAAAATATTTGACTTGCAATCAATAATTTATAAAAATGGTTTTAATGAAAAATATTTCGTTCAGTTGAACGTATCAAAACTTGTGGATTAATTGAATAAATAATTGACTAAATAATTGAATAAATAATTAAGTGAATAGTTAAACAAATAATTAAATAAATAATTTAATATATTGCGTATAGAAATAAATTGAATTCGTATTAATAGGAGCAAATATTGAATTATTACAAAAACAAAATTTCACTTGAATGAATTAATTTTATTGTCTCGATGTTTGCTGTAATATTTTTTCATGTGCCATATGGACTTTCATAAATGGAATCATATTCATAATGCGATTGCCTTTCTCTATACTTCCCGTGAATTGCAGAAGAATTTTCCTCCTGTGTTTCTTTACATTTCTCCTCATCCTCAATTTCTCTTCTCTTATAGAATGCAACTTTTCTTATTGCATAGCCAATCAAAAATCCTCCCAAGAAAACCTATTTGCAAGAAAAAAATTTTTTTTCCAGTTTAATGTCATGTATTTTTTTCAATGTTTAATAAAATCTTTTTTGTCTATTTTAGTTATGAAAATTAATTAATAAAAAATATTCAGAAAATTCCGGATAAAATATTCACTAAAAGAATACCAAATACCAAATTTATATACTGGTTGTAAAAAAAATTGTTTCGTTTGAATAATTTAATATCTAATTATTTTTTTTATTAATTATAAAGTAATTATTATATTGATTAATAATTGTAATAATAATTGTAGTAATTATAATTGGACTGATAATAGCAATCGGGATTCTAGAAAATGAAAGGATAAATTTTGAATGAAAATATAGAAAGTGTACTTTGAGTTTTAGTTATGTGATTGCAGGAAATCTCGAAATTCATGCAATATTCGCAACCGTTTGGCAATATTACAAGAGGTGCTAATATCCGATGATTATCAGAATTCAAGAGAAGGACTGAATAGTTTGATAGATAGTGCAGTATATACATATCAGTATGTGCACGTGGCAAATGCTTAATGCTCATAACACTGTAATTTCTCGTATTCCATTATATATGAGAGGTGACGTTGCCCTGAACATCATAGCAATTTACATGACATATCAAAGTGAACATGAAATTTACATTTTAATTTTATAAACACTCGTCCGTATAACTTTCTCATCGATATAATTTAAATTATTAAAAGAAATTTTTTTTCACTCACATCGATTAATTCACTATTGTCAAATTATTTTTATTATTATTCAATTATTTGACAGTAATTATTTTTTATAATTTAAATATTAATCTTCAATATAGGAATAAAAATTTTAAATAATTTTAAATAAAATATAATTAAAGTCTTACCTTGGCTGCATGTGAGATCCAAATAGTCGACTCCTTGCAATCTGAGTTCATATTTTTCTTTTTTTTTCAATTTTGACTTTAAATTAAAAATTCGTCTTCAATATTCAATCATTTTTTTTTTATTTCTTATTTGCATTTAATTAAATTTTTCTCTTTTTCAGCATTTCCTTAATGTTGATGAAGAATCAATAAATATTGATAAAACTAAAAAAATACTGGAATTTAGAAAAAATTGTTTTAATTACAATCTAATTAGCCAAAATATTTTTGTGAATAACTGTAAATTTTTTTATTTTTTCTGACAAGGCCATATTTAAAAAAAATCGTTTTCTATAATTTTCATTTGTTTTTTGTTTTTTTAATTCAAATACAATAAAGATAAAATTCATTTAAATAAAATATTTTAAATTTCAATGAAAATGATAAGTTTATTATAAATAATAAATTAAAAAGAAAATTTTTTTTTTACAAAAATAAATTTGTTAAAAATTAATAATATGTGAAAAATAACTTTTATATTTTATACTTTAAATAAATTTGAAAACTCAATTGATATTTCACACTTGTTTGTTGTTTCTTTATTAAAAAACATACATATTATTGTGAAACTCTAATATAGTTGAAAAATTTACAATTACGTACATTGATATTGTTTTCTTTTTCATGTGTATACACTTATTCGATGAAATTACATTTTTTTCCATTTTAATATAAGAATATGAGGTCCTCATTTATTCACACTCTTGTATAATATAATTTTTAATTCCCCAACACAATAAATGCATAATCAATAATAATAATAATAATTTGACCCAAAAAATACGCTTTTAAAAATTTACAAAATTTTGTCAATATAACTTAAAAATCCCGATAATTCATTATTAATAAAAAGAAATAATTTTTTCCCCAATTTTGTCAATTGTAAATAATTCAAAACTAAAATAGAAAATAAATTAATGAGAAATTGTAAAAAATTACGAATTGATATAATAAAATCTGTCGAGAAATATATTAATAACAGTAAATAAAAAAAATAAAATGAAGGAAAATATTTAGCAAAAAATGCTCATTTTAATTTCTATTTTTTTTTGTAACATTAAGAAAACTCGTCTTGAATAAAAAAACATTTTGTTAATAATTTGAACAAAAATTCAATGGAACTTTATGCTCTTTGGAATTATTTTCTTTGCTAATATTTACAAGTAATTATCGTCAAAATAGTCAAAATGTTGTAAAAATATGGTTAAAATATTATCGTCAAAAATGAAAGGTTACTAATAAAAATGTTTAAGGAATTTTAATTTCCTGAGTTCTAATTTTTCTGTTTTCTCATTTTTTTTCTTAATTATCCTGGGTTTTTAAAAATGAATCTCGAAAAAAAGGCATTTTGTATCTAAATAGACTTTAAAAGTCTAATCCTGATTTTCTTTGATCAAAGATATGATGTAATTTTTAGTAGATACGATAATCAGTAATTTTTTTTGCTCGAAAAAGTATTTTTTATTTTGTACAATATTAATATTCTTCCTTAGTTGAATTACCATAGAGTTCTTGATATTTCACCGGAAATGCCAGTTGAGTCCCTTTGTCCCAAGTATATAATTCCTGTTAATTATCAAACAAAATTGAATTAAAAATTTATTTTCCTATGACAAAAATATTTTTTTTTCCTTTGTAAAAATATTATTTTCTACAAATAAACTATTTAAAACTAATTAATTCTTATTATTAATTTCTTATTATTCTTTAATTAATCTAATTATAAATAGTTCGTCTTTATAATTTTTGTTATATCGAATTTTTATTACATTATTATTTTTGTTATTTAATTAAAAATATTAAAGGGAGAAAAAAGTCCCTGCAATAATTTCACGGCAACGGGAATTATAAAGATATTCCAAAGGTGGTGCAAGAAAATTTCATTTCTTAATTCATAACTTCCTACGATGAAAGTGAAACAAGTTCTGCCTTTTTTTGTAATTATAACGAAGCCATTCGTGCTACCAAGAAAAAAAATTTTTTTTTCAACTTAATTTCTGAAATCACATCTAAATGCAAATCCTCCCCAAGTTAAGAGTTTAATCAAAGCGATAATATGAGCTTCGGACAAAGTATTCCTGTGAATTTGAAATGAAGACTTCCGCTAATTCTCTTGGTCCTGCATTTTTTTCTCACTTTCTATTTTTGTCATTTAAAAAAGAGAAAATTATTACCTGACAATGAAATTAATTACTTTTGAATATGTTATTATGAGAAAAATGAATTTTTTTCCCCCATCTGACACTGAATGCCATTCAGCAATTTATCTCGATAATTCGAGTAGTGACCCACTTGAACTGATAGAAAAAAAGAGAAAAGCTATATATATATTTCATGACAGAAATTGATTTAATTGATATGTGTACTGCCGTTTCAAAACCCATTCAAACGATCATAATCATTTAAATCAACATTGCTGAATTCATACTAAAAATGATAAAGGTCGAGGACTCGTTAACAAAATATTTTAAAAAATAAAAACAAAAATAAATAAAAACAAATCTCCATAAATAACTGAGCATTCAATGATATTAATTGTAATACTTTATTGACGTAAAAATATCGAGCTTCATTTTATTTCAGTCTATTAAATTTTATACATTTCAGAATTTAAAAAAGGCATTTTAAAAAAATTACTTTAAAATCCGACTCATGAATCAAAAAATTAAAATGTTTTTTTGAAAGTATTTAAAGTACCTATTTATTTATATTAAACTTTTTTATTCAATTCAGGTTTGTAAATAAAAAAGGAAGATTAAAAAATTTACCTTCGTTCGGGAATTGTATCCAATCATTGTTGTCTTGTGGTAGGGATTGGTGAACGACAAACTGACGTCGAGTGGCAATTTTTTGTATAAATCCAAAGCCAATCTGAGAAATAGAAAAAAATTTGACCTATTAATTATAATTTCCACATTAATTAAAATATGAACATAATAAATGAAAAAAAAGTGAATAAGATTCAAATGAGAAATTCAAATATTAATTAAAAATAATTTTATATAGAAATTGTAAATTAATTTTTTGTAAATTAATTAATTTTTGTAAATAATATCAAAAAATTCTAATTCTAATAAAATAAGATCGTAATTCTATTTCTCCGTGTTTTTTTTTTCTTCTTCAAAAAGACATATTAATTTTCTTTTGATTATCAACTTCACTAATTAGCTGAAATTAACTCTTCAGCACGTCAAGAACTTTATTTTAACGAAGTACCAGTGCAACTTCCTCTTATTTAAAAGTTTTCAACGCCACAACAAAGCAATTTAATCACTTTAGTAAATTAAGACCTTAAACGGAAAATCACGAAAGAAATTTCTTTAAATACTATAAAACATATTTTATTATCTTTCGTCTTAAATTAAAAAATTCTTTGAGAAAAATAATAATTGATGGAATTAATTTATTAAATTTATTATATTATGAGAAAATTGTTCATTTTATTTTGTTATTCTTTTGAAATTTTCATTTTTTTATAATTAAATATTAAATATGAAATTAAGATGAAATAAGGAAAAGAGAGAAAGGTACCGAATTTTCATGATTTCGTCAGTAACACTGTGAACTCCATAAAGAACACCGCGAGCAATAAACATTTCTCCGAATTTATGATGATCAACGGTGACATTCCAAATTTGTTGAAGCTTCATGGCAATGGGATCGACTTTCACAACAATTGTCGTATTTGTAAGTGAACCATAAATGGCCCATAAACCTGGAAACAATATATTTACTCCAATAAATAAATTAAATAAAGTTGTTCGAAATAATTCAATTGTTTTTGAACATAATGAAAATTCTACCAGGAATTCAAATATTTTTAATATAATTTTAATTAAATTCCTTGAAAGAATTCAATTACTTTCTATAATTTTATATTAATAAAATTCTTCACAAGAATTCAATTTTTTTCTAAACAAAAAAATTTATCGCAAGATTTCAATTATTTTCTAATGATTTTAAAAAATGTTTAGCGAAAATTCAATTATATTCATACATAATAGAATTATTCTCAGAAATTCAATTATTTTTAAATTCTAAGACAAATTTAATAAAATTGTTCGAAATAATTCAATTATTCTCAAAAATTATAAATTTTTTGCCAGAAATTCTTTTATTTTGAATACAATTTGAAGAAAATTCCTAGGAAAATTCAATTATTTTTATAAATAATATAATTTTTTCCCAAAATTCAATTATTTTTACAAAAAGCAAAATTTTTCGCAAGAATTCAATTATTTTCGAAACGATTTTAAAAAAATTTCTAAAAAGTATTTTTTTATTATTTTCATAAGGAATATAATTTTTCACAGGAATTCAATTATTTTTAATATATTTTCAATAAAGTTTCTCCAAAGAATCGAATTATTTTCTAAAATTTTAATAAAATTCTAATCATTAATTCAATTTTTATAAATAATAAAATTCATCTCAGGAATTCAATTATTTTTAATACAATTTTTATTATAAAATTTCTTGAAGGAATTTCATTTTTCTGATAAATAATAAAAATCTTCGCAAGAATTCAATTATTTTCTATAAATTTAAATAAATTCTACGCAAGAATTGAATTATTTTCATAAACAAAATAATTTATCATAAAAATTGAATTATTTTTTACAATTTCAACAAAATTCTTGGCAAGAATTTCTATTATTTTTATTAATAATAAAATTCTTCGCAGCAATTGAATTCTTTCAATTCAATTTTAACAAAATTTGTCGGAAGAATTCAATTATTTTACAAAATTTTAATTTTAATAATATTCTTTTATCAAAATTCAATTATTTTACAAAATTTTGATAAAATTCTTTATAGGAATTCAATAATTTTTAATTCAAATTTAAATAAATTTCTCGAAGAAATTGAATGATTTTCAAAAATTTTAATGAAATTCTTGGCAAGAATTAAATTATTTCAGACTCAAAATTATAATAGTTACAAAGTTCAAAACATTTTTTAGACGAAAATGCTTTTTTTTATTTATAAAAAAATTACTCATGAACATAAAATTATGTAAAATAAAATAATTTATAAATTTTCTTAAAAATAAATAACACTTTTACATTTGCAGTATTTTGCAGGTAATTAAAATTAGTTTTTCTACAATTATTTATAAGTACAACTATTTTTATGTTTTAGAATGTTAATTGAAATTTGACAAAAAATTAAATAAGTTTTAATTGAATTAAAATTTTTAATTACTTTTAAAAGTGAAAAAAAAGTAAAAAAAAAATAATTAGAAAAAAATGTGGAGCAAACAAAAACAACTAACTTCAAACTGCGAACAAATATCAGAAATACTATTAAAGAAGATAGATTATTATTTTTTGTTTAAATAATCAATAAATCATTTCGTACCATTCTCGTCAACGTCAAAGTCCACATAATTGTGATTGTGATCCGGAGTGTAAAGATAATTCTTAGTGTTGACAACCAAACCAGGTAGAAACACTTCATTGTCTCTCATCATTGGTCCAGTGTGAGATAGATGAGGGATAATGTCAAATCTTACGATTGACGCTCGATCGACAGGATTGAAGTAAAACGAGCCATTGTAGACCACGTGACCATTGCCCTTAAAAAAAGCAAAATAAGTCGAAATTAATTAAAATAATTAGAATTAATTAACACAATAAATATTATTTCATTGGATCCTGTTTTGAACCAAATAAAAAAAAATCGGGCAGACAAAACTTTAGTAAATCAATAATTGTATCTTAAAATTAGTAGTAAACAATATTTACAGTCAGAATAAATATTAATAATAAAAAAAATAATAAATAAAAATAATTTAAATTTAAAAAATAATAATTTAAAAATTAATAAATAATAATAATTTAAATTTAAAAATAATAAATAAATAATAATAAAAAAAAAATATAAAATTCCCTTCATGGTAAATACATTAGTTAAAAAAAAATATTATCAGTTATGTAAATTTCCACTTTTGTCAGCGCAGAAATTGCAGACAATTTCAGTCAGACAAAATACTAATTTAAAAGTATTTACTTTAAAAAATTCAAATCCAGTAATTTAATTCAAAACACGATCGCAAAAATACGATTATATATAATGAAATTCGACAAATGAAGTATTTTCAGAATATGAATTTTTCACCTAGAATTATTGATCCCATATTCAATTCGTGCTTGATGAAAAGTAAACTAAAGAATGAAAGAGAAATTGAGGCTCGAGTTGATAAAGTAAACTTGAAACGTATTTTTCACAGAAATAATACAAAGTGTAATAAAATTGTCATTATTTTCCTATTTATTCATAATATTCTCCATACATTATATTAAAAAATAAAAATATTAATTTTTTTTGTTTGCAAAAAAAAATGAACCTACAATATAATCGCATGTGAGAAGAAAAGGTGTTAAGCACAAAAAAATATACAAAAGCATATTATACGCGACAGGACTGGCTATTTTTTTTTCGTTTATTTTTCACTCGATAATAATCAACGAGCAGAAAATATTCTACGGTACGATGCGGTTGTTGAAAAACGTTAAAGAAAATAAAAAAAGTCGAAAGAGAGAGAGAGAAAGGGGGAGAGAATAAAATACGGTGAAAATAATACGAAAAAAAGAAGAAAATACCAACAAGTGCACAACGAGTAATCTTGAACGTTCACGCAAACAAACAGATAAGTAATATATAAACATTCATGAGCATGCTTTTATACCGCACTCTCGTGCCCTCTCTTATAATCTTCATTCTTTCCTTCGTTCTCTTAAATATTAAACAAAAATTAATTAAAAACCTTTATCTCGAATTATTTCTCCTCTCTTAAATATTTAAATAATTAATTATTAGTTTACCCGAGTTTACCTTATTACAAAAACGTGAAAAGCGCTGTTTATGCGGGAAAATAAAATTCTAACGCAATTATAATTTCATTATAATAAATTTAATTTTACTAGAATTAATTAAATTTCATTATCAATTTAATATATCAATTTAATTTTTATTATAATACATTTAATTTCTTTAAATTCAATTTAATTTCATTATAACTAATTTAATCTAATTATAGTAAATTTAATGTGACAATAATTAATGAAATCGTAATTATTATTCCAAATAATGTTAATTAATTTTACACAATGAAAGACACATTTGTAATTAAAATTATAGTTAGAAATACAATATTAGTATTAAATATTTAAAGACAATTTCCATAAAGTTAAATTGATTAATTCGATTAAGTAATACTGACAATTCGAATTTTTTTTACTCTAAATGTGAATTATCGAAATTGTACTGATTCGTATCTTTAATTAAGCCATTATTTCCAATTAACGAATATGCGTCAAAATGATATTAGTGAATTTACCACGGAATTTATGCTGAGCATGTAGTGAAATTTATTTATTTTTCTTTTTAATAAAAACGTCATTTCAAGAAAAGAGTGAATAATTAATGAATTGTAGGATTATTAATTAATAAATTTTAATAATAATTTAAATTAAATTAAAATAATCAGGACGGTGAAGTTCACAACGTTTATTATCGTCAATTGATGGAAAAAAATATTTTTTATTATGCGAACAATAAAATTTGTTTGCTTACAACTTTTTTTTTTTTGAATTACAGATCAAAAAAATTATGTAAATAATTCTGATACCAAAATTTATGAAAATTTAAATAGAAAAATATTTTTTCCTCAAAATTATTCATTATAAACGTTTAAGTAATATTTAAATAATTTAAAAGAGTATTATTAAAAGTTCATTTGAGAAATTATTGAATAAATAGAAATTTTGTGAAATTAAATTAAAAACAATTAAATTCTTTAAGGACTTTCATTAGAGATTTTAAAAAAATCAAATTTTCAAAGTATTTCAATTTAATAATTGCCAAAAAATTGAATTTTAGAAATTAAAAATTTTGTTATTTATTACTACAAATTTAAATTCTTTAAAAATTTAATTTTTTTAAAATCTTGCATGAAATTCTATAACAAATTTAATTATTTACAATTAAATTCCACAAAATTTAAATATTTTTAAAGAATTGAATCAAAATTATAAAAGAAGCTTTACATTAATTTGTTACTTAATTTGAAAAATTTCCTTTTTTAATCTGAATCTTCTTTTAAAAAATAAAAATCCCTCTTTTTATCTAATTTTTCAAGAAAAAAATCACTGTAATTCCTGAGACTATGAACTTGAGGAACATAAATAATTACTTGAAAATTGTTAGCTTAATTAAAAATGATACAAATTTTCTTAAATCAAGAGAATTTCTTTTATAAAATCCTTTTTTTCGTAAAAAATAAAATAATTAAAATTTTTGATTAGAATACAAATTAACTGATTAAATTAATACAAGTTAGGGAAAATTAAATCATTCTCAAATTTTGCATGCAAAAGATAACGCAAAACTGCCTGAATTTAAATAGTGCATTTTGGGAAAAAATTCCGACAATTTTAGTCTTTTATTATATTCTTCTATTTGTTTACTTTACTATTGTTATGCATTTCAATAAGAAAATTTAATAATAATGAACTTAAATCCAATTGAACCCATTTTAAATTAAATTAAATTTTAAATTAAATTGATCCAAGTAATAATTATTTTTCATAAAAAAAGAAATTCAAAAAGTTTCTATAATTTACAGATCATGATTATCAAGCGATTGTTCATATAATTAATAAAATATTTTTTACATTAATTTATATTATTAATATTATTAATAAAAAAAATATTAAATTAATATTAATAAAATTAAAAATAACAAAAAAATAATGAAATATAATAAAATAAATTTTTCCGAAGGTAAAAAAATAATTTTCCTTTGAAAAAATTTAAAAATATTTCTAAAGTAACAATTTAATTTAAAATTTCCATGAACAACAGTAATAAAAATAAAACTAACAAACAATACCACCGTAATTTTCCTAATAATATCCATAACATTCTTTTCTCCATTTTCCAGCTAAAAGCATTGATATTTATTTTCTTTAAAAAACAATATTTAAAAAAAAAAGAAATCTATAATTTCTCTTCGATTTTTGTTCCCGAGAAAAATATACGAGCTTGTGTGGAGGATCGTAAAAAATAAATAAATATTCCTAAGGGTAAAAATTGTGCGATGTACAATGTCACATACAGATTAATATCTTTTCGCAAAAAATCGATAATATATCGAAACAACAAAGGAAAGCAATTTCAATATACAATTTCTAATATCGTTTTTTTTCCCATACATAAAGTGTGGAATAGTTTAAAAAAAAAAAATACCGATAACATGTATTATCTTACATATATATGAACAATAGCTTGATAATCACAATCTGTAAACTATATAAACTTTTAAAAAATTTCCCTCTGTTTTATTTTTATTTCATATAAATACAAAAAGAAAAAAAATTGTCAATGCAATTTTTGCTGATATTGAAAAAAAGGATGAATACAGAAAATTTATACGAGATAGAAATGTGAAATAAAGTGGAACATTAAAATGTAAAATAAAGTATAAGCGCGATAAGAATGGGAAAATAAAAATAAAATTTAAAAATAAATTTGGTAATGTAAAATAAAATTTGCGAAATTGTAAAATTTGGCAAATACAGATATTTAAGGGAAATAAAAATACTATACACATGGAAATTATTTTGAAATAGGGATAAAAAAAAAAAATAAATTAGCTCACTTGAAAAGGTCGTGAAAGTCTTATTTCTTTGGCTCTTTTCATTGAACTCGAGAAGTCATCTCGGCTGTTATATTCGTAGAGAATCGAACGAAATTTGCTCCTCGTCACCCATAATTTATCTGCAATTGCTTCAGATCTGGGAAGTGTGTCATACATCCAGGCTCCGTAAATGTCGTCCATTTCGCCCTTAAATACCGGCTTTCCAACTGCATCCAGAACTCCCTCTATTAAAAAACAATTATTTATTAGTTCACTATTCATTTATTCATTATTCATTAATTTCTTATTTTATTTAAATAAGTTTAAATTTCTTACTATATTTAATTAAAATTTCAATATTTTAAGTTAAAATATTATTATTCTTTTTCACTACTATTTTTTTTCAATTTTTCAAATCTGACACCCAGAAAAAAGTGACTCAAAATCCAACCAGACTCTAATAAAATTATTAATTTTTTATTTAATATTTTAATTTTATATTTTCTTAATATTTAATATTTAAATTTGTTTCGGTTTAAATAAAAATTTATTTAATTGAAATAAAAGTGTTATTTATGTCAAACGAAAATTTTTATTTAAAACAAATAAACAACCTATTTGGCTCTGAGACAAATATAATTTTATTCAACTCAAATAAATTATATTTGGTTTAAATAAAATTTTTCTCTGGATGCAAATAATAATAGATTCTATTAATTTCAAACGATCGACAAGTTTTGAACGTTCAAATGAAAGAAATATTTTGTCTTTTTTATTTTCAAAAATTACTGCCCACAATAAAAAGCAAAAATCGAAATTAAACATTTAAAAAGTTTATAATTTATTCTCTTTACACGTGATTTAATATTATTGTAATAAAATTTTAATTTCAAGAAGAAATAAATAAATTTCATTCATTTGAACAGGACTATTTTCACAGTAAACAACAAGGTATTAAAAATCATCGCAGATTAAATTCGAATGAAAATCATTGCATTAGAAAAAGAATAAAATAATTAATTTTTAGACTAATTTTTCCCTTGACAAAAAAGTTGCTCTAAATTAAAACCAAAGAATTTGTAACAATTTTGAAAAATTAATCCTTCGATAAATTATTTTAATTCTTTGTGAATTATTTTAATCTTTAGTAGATTTTGAATTTTCAAGAATATTAGTAAACTAGAATGTAGAGTAAATTAAAAAATTGTTAAAAGTAATGTGAGAGAAAAAAATTCAATTGTCATACCGGCTAATCTCGGTGGAAAAGCAATCAATTGCACTTTAAATGTTATATTATTAAAAGGTTGAACAATGTCTTTGAAAGAGCATTTTACATTGGGACACGAATCACAATTGATTTGCGGTGAACAATGAGTATCGAGATCAATTCTCGGTGGAGGAGGCTTGCCAAAGAAAGCCTGCTGTTGCTGAGTATTTCTCAAATCATCCATATTCTGCGTGACACCTAGAAAAAAAAAATTCATTCATCATTCAAATTTAATTAATCAACGTTTATTCAGGAGTGTCAATATTTAAATTAATCGAGTGGAATTTCCTCCCCCCAAAAAGAAGAAAGAAAAAAAGTATAATTAACAATTGATAATTATCTATCACTAATTATTAATTATTAACTATTAATAATAATTAATTGTAACTGAAAATTTCTAAATTATTCCTTTTGCGGTCAATTATGTAGTTCTGAATATAATATAATTTAATTAATTGCGAATTACGAAAATAATAGAAATAAATTTAAACCAATAGATACTGATCTCTGTAAATTTGGAATAGTTAATTCATTAATTATAATAAGTAACTATATTAGTTAATTCGATTATTTAGTTTCATAAAAAATTTTTTTCTTGACTAAAAACTTCTTTTTACACTATTTTTTACTAAAAACTTTTTTTATACTCTTTTTGCACTTTTTTTACACTTTTTTTTATTCATTGACATGAAACAAATTTTAAACAAAAATTCCACTAATTAGGGCTGCCACAAAAATTGGATTTTGTTTTTTTCTTTTCTCCAGACAGAATTTTGACTTTTTCTTTGACTCAAGATTCACTCAAAAAATTATTAATATACATAGAAAAATGTTTATAATATAATTATTTGTGAATATCTTAAATTAGAAAATTATTCGAAACATTAATAGTTTTTTTTAAAGATTTCGATTCAATTATTCTCTCGAATTTTTAACTAAAATTCTTCTCTAAATCAATTATTTTTAATAAATTTTTAAGAAAATTCTTTGCGAAATCAATTATTAAAAAAAAACACAAAAAATAATTCTTAAATCCACTTGTTTACAATTTTATTTGAATTTGAATTATAGAAATTGTTATTAGAGAATTTTTCAATTCAATATTCCAAATTTCAACTACTTTCAAAAGATTTTGACATTAAATATCCAAAAAAAAAAATATATTCAGAATTTTGAATTAAAAATAAAGTTGAATTTTTAGAAAATTCAATTTGAAACCTTTTTTAAATTACTTCCAGAAATTTCTGTTATAAATTTTTCTTTCATTTTATTATTTTGTAGAATTTTTAACTAAAATTCATCCCTAAATCAATTATTTTAATAAATTTTGAGAAAATTCTTTACGAATTCAATTATTAAAAAAAAAACAAAAATTATTTCTTAAATCCACTTGTTTACAATTTAATTTTCCAAAATTAAAATTATTAAAAAAAATTTCAATAAAATATTCAATAATTCAACTATTTTCAAAAGATTTTAACATAAAATTTACCAAAAAAATAAAATATTCAAAATTTTGAGTTAAAAATAAAGTTCGATTTTCAAAAAATTTAATTTGAAACGTTTTTAGTTTAGCTTAATTTAATTTTTAATTTTAATTTTTATTTATTTTAATTTGAAACGTTTTTGAATTATTTCTAGAAAATTCTATTATAAACTCTTCTGTCATTTAATTATTTTCTAGGATTTTTAACTAAAATTCTTCTCTAAATCAATTATTTTTAATAATTTTTGAGTATTCAATTATTCATAGAAATAATGGAAAGTTCACAAAAAATAATTTTGAAAAACACATATTTATAATTAAATTTTACGAAATTTCGATTATTCAGAAATTTTCAAATTAAATATATAATAATAAAAAGTTTTACTAATTTACAAAAAAAAAAAAAATATTAATAAAAATGTTTCAAAAACTAACTTTTTTAGAATTTTTAACTAAAGTTATTTAAAATTCAAATATTTCTTTTTGAAACCTTTTGAAATTTAATTATTTATAAAAATTGTAAATGATACTTTTAGCAAATTAATATAATTTTTGGAATTATTTTTAAATACATTATCAATTTGATATTCTGTAAAGTTTAATTATTTAAAATTGAAAAAAAAATTTATAACGTTTCGTATTAAAATTCGTGACGATTTCAAAGTTAATATTAATTAATTTCGAATAACCAGAAGATCAATTGAATTTCTAAATTCAAGTAGAATTAAATCTTTTCAATATTTTCAATGAAGCTTGCTGGCCACAAAAATATCCAGAATTTTTCTATGAATTCTAAAAATTTAATATTTTCCATTACTTTTGATAAAATTCCCCGACTTTTTTTTTATTTCGCTGACCAATTTTACTTTTCCTGAATTTTTTTCCGAATTCCCTGATTTCTCTGAAATGTGGCAACCCTGTAATAGTAATTTTTAATAGTAATTAAAAATATAATAGTAATTTTTATTTTAAATAAAATGAATAAATAAAAAAATGCAGATTTAACTAAATTGCTAATTTTATATATTATTCTAATAAAAATTTTGTTATAAATTCAAAAAATATAAACAAATCTAGTAAATTCGAGAAATTTAATGAGTTACATTGTAAAAGAAAAGGAGAAAAATGAATAACGAACCTGTGACCATAAGTGTTCCTTTTGTCGTGTCTATGACGTTCTTTGCAACACAATGATAAATACCATGATCCATGGATACGACTTTTATGATTTGCAGCTTCATTATAAACTGAAAAGGAATTTAACATAAACCTCTGTAATATTATATGTTCACATACAGATGAACCGCATTAATTCCAGCGTTTTAAATAGCACAGGAAATTGTGAGAATGCAAAATGATTAGTGTATATGATCGTTTAGTAATTAAATTGTAAAGTGCCTCTGTGACATCTGATAATGGGATTAAATAACAATTTCAGCTCATTAATTCGATCATTCGATTTTATCTCTCACAGTATTATCAAATTAGCTTTACAAAATATTTACGAAGGCTAATTATCGCAACTCTGCGTATATAATTGTAATAATAATAGAAAAAAGAATCTATTTCATTTCTCAAAATTCTACCTATTGTATGCAATTATCTATAAATTTATTATAAATTTATTATAAATATAAATGTAATTATTTCTTGATTCATTGATTGATAGGAAAAAATAAAATTCTAATAAATATTAGGTGTTTCTTTTTTTTATTTAATTATTAATTTATTAGGTATTTATTTATTTACAGTACAAAAGGATTTGTACACAACTAAATAAATAATATAAAATTCATTACTGAATTAAATATATAAAAATTGATGAATTAAAAAATAAACAGAAAATTTCCTCACGAGGAGGCAGAATTAAAGAAAGAAAAACTCTTTTTTCTGATGGTGTTTTCTGCAAAAACTTTTTTTTTAGAAATTTGTCTGAAATACCTTGTAACCGTTTCGTCTGCTATTGACCTCGGAACGATACTTTTCCAATAAATCGAGCCGTCGACCATCATCTCGTATCCAATATGTTTCTGGTTCCGGAAATGCTTCCACTTCACACTCGAGCATAGCGGTATTTTGATTTCGAACTCGAATTGTCTGGGAATGAACTCGAATGTAAGGAGCGACTAAAAACATAATCAAACATTTTCTTATTATTTAAAAAAGTCATTAAAATAAAACAATTTTTTCTATATACACATTAAAATATTTTCCTAAAAATGTAAACATGTATATTTAAAAACTAGAAAACAAATTTATTTGATTCAAATAAAATTATTTAAGTGAAGTAAATATTTATTTGATAATAGACAAGAAATCAGTTATTTGGATCAAATCAATTTTTTTCAGTGTACACAATTAAATTTTACGATATTTCGATTATTCGTAAATTCATTAATTAAATATACGTATTAGAAAACAAATTGTATTTTAAATAACTTAATTTAGTGTTAGGGACGTTTTTCGTCATAGTTGTTGTAATAAAAAAACATGAAATCAGTAGTAAAAGTGTTTTTAGTCAGACATCGTATTTAAAAAACCTTAAATCAGTGGTATAAACGTTTTTAGTCAGACATAGTATATAAAACTTTTAGAATTAGTAGTAAAAACATTTTTAGATAGACTTTTTGTTTAAATTCTTCAAAAAAAAGTAGTAGAAGTGGTTTTAAGTCAGACATTGTGTCTACTACTGAGTAAAAGTTTTTTTTAACACAATGTCTGACTAAAAACAGTTCTACTACTTTTTTTTTTGAAGAATTTAAACAAAAAGTCTATCTAAAAATGTTTTTTTTTACTTATGTCTGACTAAAAACGTTTGTACTACTGATTTAAGGTTTTTTAAAGGCGCCGTCTGACTAGAATAATTTCTACTACTGATTTTACCTTTTTTAAACACGATGTCTGACTAAAATCATTTCTACTACTGATTTTACCAAGCTGAAGTCCACAACGTTGATCAACGAAAAAAAATTGTTTATTTAGTAAATTAATTAAAAATAACGTAGCAATATTGACACAAAAATATTTAGAAAAAAAATATTGATGTTTATATTTTGATAATAATTACTTTACAATTAAATATTAAATTAAAAATAATACTTGAATGCATTAAACAAATTTTTTTCGTTGATAAACGTTGTGGACTTCAACTTCGTCTGATTTTACGTTTTTCAAACACGATGTCTGACTAGAATAATTTCTACTACTGATTTTACGTTTTTTTAAATTATGGCTGACTATAATCGCTCTTATCACTAGATTTCAGTTTTTTAAACACGACATCTGACTTATTTTCTCGAAAATTATAAAATTCGCTTTTTAAATTCGATGTCTGACTAAAAACAGTATCACTACTGATTTCTCGTTTATTTACCACAATGTCCGACTAAAATCGCTTCTACTACTATTTTTTTCAATTTACACAAGATGTGTGTCCAAAAATATTTTTACTACTCTTTCCAAGTGTTTTGTAACTATGTCTGACTAAAAACGTTTCTTCTACTGATTCACAGTTTTTCAAACTAATTTTAAGTTTACTAAACAATATCTATGCGACTGATAACATTTCTACTGTTGATTTTATGTTTTTAACACAATGTCTGACTAAAAACGTTTATACTACTGATTTCCCGTTTTCTTAAAACGATGGCTGACTAAAATCGCTCTTACCACTAAATTTAGGTTTTTTAAATACGAAGAAATTTATAAAAAAATTTGTAAGTAATTGAATTCCTGTGAAATTTTTATTATTAATGAAAATAATTAAATGTTTTTGTACAAATTCTATTTTTCCTGAATTCCCTGACTTCTCTGACCTGTGGCAACCCTGTAGTTAAAATTTCAGAAAAAGGAATATAATAAATACAAGTAACAAATACAAATAATAATAGAAATACAAATAAATAAAAAATAGAAAAGGAATAAAAATTATTTCTAATAAAATTGATTTTTGATACAATAAGTAAATAATAAATACAAATAAAAATATAATAGAAAAGAAATTAAAATTTGAAATCACTATCAAGAATAGCGATTTTTTAATCAAAAATTTGTTTTTGTAAAAAATAAATTTTAGCATTTAATATCAAAGCGTATATTATTCGATTCTATTGAATATATAAAATTGAATTAAATTTAAACAAAAAAAATCCCTTTTTTTCTGGTATATATAAAGAAAGTGTATTATTGTTTTTCAACTTTATTTGAAACCAAGGGAAATTTAAATTATGTTAATTTTATTTAAACGTCTGGTTGGATGAAATTAACTAGGAATTAACTAATTGAAAATGAGTTTCCGAGCAAACAATCGCGTCTGTCTGCGTGTGATTCACATTGGGGTTTGAATTACAATGAATAAATTAACGTACTTGTTGAAAAGCAGCCAACAATGAATTTTCATGTATTACACTTCAAAATTCTATCCTACAGATGTAACTAGAATGTAAATGATATATGTATATATTGGGATATTCCTCAATATAAATATCTATTATTATATTTTTAATTCACGTTCTCTTTGTGTAAAAAAAAGTTTTTAAATTTGTACAAAAAATAAAAAATTTATTTTTATTTGATTTTTATCTTTTATTACTTTTTTTTATTTTATTTCTATCCTTTATTATTTTTTATTTTATTTCTATGTATTTTTTATTATTTTTTTTATTTTATTTTTATTTTTTACTTTTTATTATTTTTCTAGTACTAGTGTTTGATTTTACAAACTAATACAATTTATTCTTTTTTGCCTTTTTCTAAAATCGTTTTTTAAATATTTTCTAGCTCATGTGACACGATTCTATTCGGGAGCCAATAATTTTAAGTGTTTGAAGTAAATTTATTTGAGTAAAATTATCATTTAATTGATTTACATAAAAATTATATGATTCAAGTAAATATTTATTCGATACAGTTTAAATTTACTCTTTAATCTAAAATCAGTTTCTCTACAGATTTCTCGTTTTTTTATCACGATGGCCGACTAAAATCATTTCTACTACTACTTTTTTTTTGAATTTAAACAAAATGTGGATCGAAAAATATTTTTACTACTGATTTTACGTTTCTTAAACACTATGTCTGACTAAAAACATTTCTACTACTGATTTTCCGTTTTTTTGAAACAGTGGCTGACTAAAATCGCTCTTACCACTAAATATCGGTTTTTTAAACACAATGTCTGACAAAAAACGTTTATACTACTTGTTTTCTCAAAAAATAATACATTTGAATTAGTGACTTACTTTTTGCTTTTGAAATTTGAATTAGTAAATTTTACTAATGAATAGTAATTTCAACTGTAAAATTTATTAGTGAAAACTAATTCGAAAGCAAAAAGTAAGTCACTAATCCAGAAAATAATTGTACTACTTCAAATTTAGAGAGTAATAGACAAGTAATCGCTTATTTGAATAAAATAAATTTACTTCAGTACATTCAGACGAATATTTAAATGTCCAATAAACGAAGAGCGAATGTAAAAGGAAACGAAAACATACTGACGCTCTTTGACTTTTATAAGAGTATATACTCAAGAAGAAGATTTCCCCTAATAGACAATTTTCATTCAAATAGCTTCATATATAGTTATTGAAGGAAAATTTGTTTTTTTCCCATATTCATAGATATTGAAGTACATACAATATAATATATATGTATCCATAAAAGATGAAAAATTCAATTTTGTTGATGTAAGACAGAAATATCTTATATTACGTATTATCCTCGATTTTCTACACAAGATTCGTCTAACATAATGTGAACCTTATTCTTCGCCTGCGGAAAAGATCGATCGATCGTTCGTTCCTTCGTTCGATTGAAGCAAGTAGATGGGTAGCGTTTTTAAATTAGTCGAAGCTCTTTTTTTATGGTGCTTCTATAACAAGGGCTTATCTGATAAGCACTCTGAAAGAGACTCGCATCTCTGGTGCAGAAACTCGTTCTCGTTGAGGGCTTCAAAAGGATTTATAACTGGTACACAATATAAATATATACATATATATATATATATATATATATATATATATTTGTACTCTCCCCGATGTATCAATTTTAAGTAACAAGAAATATTTCTTATTATTAATAATTAATATTTTTTAATTATTTTAATTTTTTATTCAGTTTTCCTGCAGATATCAAATTGAGACAAAAAAATAAATTAAAAGTACTGCCTCGCAACACTTTTGATTTATTTTTTGTCTCAATTTATTGATATTCTTAAAAAAAATGTGTCATAATTAATATAAGTCTTTAATGGCTTTATATGTTTAAATGACTTCAAATCATTACATGATTTCAAATCATAACATGACTGTATAAAAAATATAAAATTAGTGATGTCTGACTAAACAAAGTTTTTACTACTGTTTAAAACTTCTTTTTTAACACAATGTCTGACTAAAAACAGTTCTACTACTTTTTTTAAAAGAATTTAAACAAAAAGTCTATAGTTAAAAATGTTTATGCTACTTATGTCTGACTAAAAACGTTTATACTACTGAATAAAGGTTTTTTAACGTCGACGTCTGAATAAAATAATTTCTACTACTAATTTTACGTTTCTTAAACACGATGTCTGACTAAAAACAATTCTACTACTGATTTACTACTTTTTTTTAAATTGTTGGCTGACTAAAAATATTTGTACTACTGATTTACTGTTTTTTTAAACGATGGCTGACTAAAAATATTTCTACCACTGATTCACTGTTTTTTTAAAACAATGTCTGACTAAAAACACTTCTACTACTTTTTTTTTTGAAGAATTTAAAGTTTCAAACAAAAAGTCTATCTAAAAATGTTTTCCCTACTTATGTCTGACTAAAAACGTTTATACTACTGAATAAAGGTTTTTTAAAGGCGACGTCTGAATAGAATAATTTCTACTACTAATTTTACGTTTTTTAAACACGATGTCTGACTAAAAAGATTACTTCTACTGATTTTCCGTTTTTTTAAAAGATGGCTGACTAAAATTGCTGTTACCACTAAATTTCGGATTTTTAAACACGATGTCTGACTAAAAACGTTTATACTACTTATTTTCTTTTTTTAAATACAATGTTTGACGAAAAAAGGTTCATACTACTTATTTTCTAGAAAAGTATAAATTATACAAGCTTTTTAAACT